GCTACAGGGCTCTGCTGAGGTGGAGGAGACAGGAGCGCTTGATGCTGCTGCAGGGCTCTGCTGAGGTGGAGGGGACAGGAGCGCTTGATGCTGCTGCAGGGCTCTGCTGAGGTGGAGGGGACAGGAGCGCTTGATGCTGCTACAGGGCTCTGCTGAGGTGGAGGAGACAGGAGCGCTTGATGCTGCTGCAGGGCTCTGCTGAGGTGGAGGGGACAGGAGCGCTTGATGCTGCTGCAGGGCTCTGCTGAGGTGGAGGGGACAGGAGCGCTTGATGCTGCTGCAGGGCTCTGCTGAGGTGGAGGAGACAGGAGGAGTATCTGTGACCATCAAGAGATGCATTATATTTGCTAGACCTAAGACATAATGTAGAAATCAGATTACAGGAGCAGCTCACAATAGCATATATTGCCTCCATGTCCAACGTATGCACTCATCTGTATGCACACACTTTTCAGAAGGTCGAAATATCTGTATTATAAATCCTGTTTGGTCTTATCTAATATTATACTGTTTTGAGATACAGGATTATTGATTTTCATGATCTGTAAACTGTCATCACAATTAAAACAAAAAAGGCTTGAAATATTTCACTTAATTCATAATGAATCTAGAATATATGAATGTTTCATTTTAAATTAAAGAAAAACAGTTCTATGATAGTTATTCTTTTAGATGCACCTGTAGATTCAGCGACTCACCAGATGGCAAAGAAGCAGTTACATACAGTGTGATATAGCACATTAAAGATAAAGGCTAAGGTATGCAGTATTTACAGTAGTGACGAGCATTTTAACACTGATGTAACCTTTACACTATTGAACATGCATAAACTCTAAATAATGACCACCTCTCTTGACATCTAGGCGCTTGAGAGTGAGTCAGAGGCAGAGCACAGGGACAGTGGAGAGAGGTCCGTTGCTGAGGTGTGTGATGAAAGGGAAATGACAGTTTAGAGTCAATTGTGATGTGGACTCTCATCCCAGAATGTTAAGGAAGTCAGTGGAGATATTGAACAGGAAGCATTTCAGTCAAGGGGCATCATGTGACCAATATAGACAGAAGAGCAACATTTAAGTCAATGATACCATTCCTAGGTGAACTTAACATCTGTACGGAGTCAGATCAGTCTCAATGTTAATAAATGCTCACAGAAGGATTCACACATCTATTTTGCGATTTATATATAATTCAATTCAATTCAAATTCAATTCAAAACCTTTATTTATACAGATAAAACCCATTGAGATCATAGACCTCTTTTACAATGGTGACCTGCTTCAATTAGTTCCAAACATTAATACAAACATGACAGAAAACAAAGGACATTATATGATACTACAGTTTGTATACTAGTAGCATTTACAGACACCAATATTTTCTGATTGTATAGCGTCTATCCTAGCTTTAAAAACATGAAATGGAATCAAACTGCTTAGCTTCCATTCCTTTTGTAGACTGTTCCATGCTAGCGGCGCTGCGCATCTAAAAGCTGTATTTCCTAATACAGTCCTAGCAGTTGGCACATGTAATACAACCACAGCTTTAGATCTCAGGCAGTAGCCATTTACAATACGCTGTGAGATCAGGGAACAGATGTAAATATATATATAGATATAAATGACTCCACAACAATATCTCTCAACGCACTCACAAATATTTATTAATGTATATAAATGTACAAAAAATGGGCATTTAAACAGCTTTTTATTCATTCAAAGACGGCTCTGAATTAATAATCAAATGTTTCCTTTCTTTACAACTGGATGAAATTACAAAATGTACCCATCATTTTCCTCATGCTAGTATAGCCACATAAAAGTATCAAACCACACCCCCCCTACAAAATGTCCCCGCCACATTCAGGATGCTTCCTACGCCCATGCTCTAAGGCAATACGATAAAAGCCTACAACTATAAATGATGGAGGGGATGTAAAAGGAATAGCATTTTAATGATTATCATAGCCTATTACTGCAAGCAGCCGGCAGGGCGAACATTGGCTCGCCTCAACAGATGTCGATGAAAACAGGTGAGGTAACATCTGAATAATCTTTCCAAATGTCCCTGAATTTAAGGTGGGAGTAACGGTAATTGACTTCAACTCGAAATATAACTATTGATTAGCAAACGTTATTTTTTAACATTTTCTAACAAATCGTGGCTAATAATAAAAAGCCCAATAACTTCTCTGCACACCAAGCTTGAAAGAGACCCTTCATATTTCCCCTTATTATAACCAGAGGCTCCGTTTGAAGGAATGAGCTGCCAACACTTTATCAAGATAAAAGAAACACTACGGAGAGCTGGGGTTTAGGCTGTTGGTGTTTTCTCAAAGCATATTCAAGTATCAAGTCAAAGTCATCATTTGATTGATTTACTAACTTATGAGGCAACCTGATCTCTAGTGAGAGGCCCAGCGCTTCCTGTGTTGTTCTGTATGTGGCCCTCAGTGAAGAAAGTTTGGACCCCTGGAGTTCCTCATAAAGTGTCCGGTGGAAAGTCTCTTTACATAATAACAGGTTTTAGTGAATGATGTCAGAGTTATTCTCTCCTGCTACCTGATGAGTGTTTTAAACCGTTCATCTACTGCCTTCGTCTCTCTGTCAGGAAAGGTGGAGGACCAGCAGCAGGTCAGTGGTAGTTCACAGTCATTCATCCTTGCCAGTGCCCTGCCCTTGAGTGCTGAGTCTGCCTGTGATGCAAGTGCGGTGGTAAGAGGTATTGGAATGGGTTGTGTGCCGCACAAGATCCAGGTCCAGTCTAAACTGACTACTGGTTTCTTTCCAGTTGCTGTGCTCCCCAAGTTTCCTGTCGACGGTGTGGATGTCATAGTGAGTAATGATATAGCCGGAGGTAAAGTCAGAGTAATTATCCTCATCGTGGAGCTTACTGTAGAGCTCGTAACATGCGTGTCGCACGTGCTCATTCTGTTTCTCTTCCAGGTCCCAACACTAAGAGATTGTGTTTCTCTTGTCTTGACCCTGGTCATACAGTGGCAGAGTGTGCATTCTGCCATTCAGTAGTGAAACTTGCAGGCCACGACGACCCGTTGGAGTTGATCTGCTCTGTCGAACTCATCGTTGGTAAGCACACTGAGTTCAATACGGAAACTTAGTGTTAGAACAATCTCACTGGTCCCCGGCTTGAGCTTCAACATCAGGATCCATGTATCTGTGATCCTCTCCAGAATGGAAGTCATCACATACAGAGCATCAACTAGTTCCTGAACAGTGTCCTTCACATGCTGATATCCAAGAGAGGGAGTTACACAGTCACAAGATGGAGGAATAGAAAGCAGTACTCAATGTTTACTTCAGATTAGCTCCATGTCAGAAATGAGCATGCAGGTGCTCTAAAGACCAGAAACCACACCATGTGACAAATACCTGAGATGATCAGCTACCAGATCAACAACAGGCTAACTTAGCATGTTGGCTCCTCCTGTTACTTTATTCTCTTGTAGCAAACATACATGTTGGAGCTATATATATATATATATATATATATATATATAAGGGTCGTCAGACTTCTGGGTCTTTTACAGCATTGCCATTATATCCTCGTATCTTTTATTTTGAAATATGTTCTTTAACTTCCGGTCCACCGGACTGCTTTTCTTCATTCTTCAATACAAAACGGAACATTGAATGAAGTTGTTATCAAAAACCAAAATCAGACCGTTTTTTTTATTAGGTCTTCTTGTTATCCGTTTTTTGATTCAGACAACATAAACAGCAAAACGGCTTTGGTTTCACGTTTTTGATTTAAAACGAAAAAAGGCTGGTATTTTCATTTTTCTAATTTTTTGGTTCAAACGAAAAATCAAACTAACAAAACGTACACTTACCTTTTTTTAATTACGTTTTCTCGTTATCCGTCTTTTTATTCAGACAACAACACCTGAAAAACGGCTTTGGTTTCCCGTTTTTTCGTTTTAAACCAAAAACGGAAAAAGGCTGGTATTTCCGTTTTTTGGCTTTTGGTTTAAACGAAAAATCAAACTGACAAAAAGTACACGGACCGCGTAGCTCTCCTACGCACTCGTTACTGAACCGCACAGGTCACATGGTGATGAAAACGAGGAGGCGTTAGGCTTGTTTGAGACAAGCGAGGCCTGAGCAGTTGCGATCAACGTCTTGCTCGTGCGTTGCATGATGGTTAGTCATTTTGTCCGACTTGCTCTGGAGGCTCGCCTACATGAGACGTTGAAATCTCGCGGGACAAAGACGCCCGCAGCCTTGAGAGCGAGGCGCGGCGAGGCGGAGCAGTTTCTCTCCACGGGCTGCGGAAGCGAAATGCTTGATGGGAAACGACTCGCTGGTATCTCGAGCTGAGCGCTCATTGGTGGGTTTTACCACGTGCTGGTGATGAAACTCTCCAATTGGCTCGGCAAAAGTTTGTTGTTGTTTTATGTCAGTTTTACGCCCCCCCCCCCCCCATTAACATTTTTCATCATTGTTCCACAATATTTATCATCATTAAATTAATATCTATATATTTTATACTATACTTGCACTGCTTACCGTTTTCATACTTTATATATCTTAGCATATTCATACACACTGTTCATACTGCTCTCAGGCTGCTGTGTATATCTAGTGTATTCATACCCCTCACTGTTTATTCATCATTCAATTCATTCTATATTTTATTCTGGAGATTGTGTACATTACTTTTCACTTTACTGCTTGTTGCACCTGGTTAGAAGCTAAAGTGCATTTCGTTGTCTCAGTACCTGTAATATGTGCAATAACAATAAAGTTGAATCTAATCTTGAGCAGGAACAAATGTATTTACTTAGTACATATCTGACATTAACGATTAAACACTTGTGTGCATTCTTTATAAATGCAAACCGAGTCAAACCGACTCCGGAGGTGGCGGTATGCACCTTCAAGCTGTTTGCAATCCGCCAAATAACCGAGAGAAGAAGACGAAGAAGAAGATGAAGAAGCCGACTCGGAGCTGTCCGACTTCAGGCGAGCTTTTTGAGACCTCCCCCAGCTGCGATCGGCTATTCTCGTCTGCTTTCGAGGCGAGCCGCAACGCGTCTCAAACAAGCCTGTGTCTCCAGGGCGGCTCTCCTTGTGCAGAGGAGCCAGCATGCAGTCATTTCCAGACCAGAAGCCACTCTGGTCCGCGGGGTTAGTTCGGAAGTCACATTCAGGACATAAACGTTTCTCCTGGATTGATGATGAAGAAACTCTTATTTTTCTTGCTGGTTGCTGAAAATATCTCAGGTGAGTCGCTGACTTTATTTGAGAGTGCACATTTGTACTGAACATTTAAATGAAGATCAGATATTTTATATCATGACATCTTGACTATTGTCAGTGTCTTTTAACCTGTTCAAGCTTCTCACAATTGACCGGAGTATTAGCTGAGTTTAAGAGGTTCTGTATTCTCGCTTCAGAATTTAGAATATATGTTATTACTTTGCCAGCATGATCTGGATCCAGATTAGGCTTCATTAAAGTACTTTCATCGTTTTAGCATAACTTTGAATCCAATGCTTTGCTCTTGTATTGGCATAGATCGTTTGGACAGTACATGTTCTCCTCTGTTGCCAAATGTTTTAACCCTTAAAAAAAGATTTGGTGTATTAGCTTGATAAGTTTAAATAGAGAAGAGATGTGCTTTTTATTAGAGCATTTTACTGAAGAATGACACCAACCAATCATCTGTAATGATTTCCTGTGCCGCAGCAAGTGTTGAATTACCGCTCGGTAGTGTGTGTGTGTGTGTGTGTGTGTGTGTGTGTGTGTGTGTGTGTGTGTGTGTGTGTGTGTGTGTGTGTGTGTGTGTGTGTGTGTGTGTGGTGTGTGTGTGTGTGTGTGTGTGTGTGTGTGTGTGTGTGTGTGTGTGTGTGTGTGTGTGTGTGTGTGTGTGTGTGTGTGTGTGTGTGTGTGTGTGTGTGTGTGTGTGAATAGGACCAAAACGTCAGGCAAGAAAGCAGATGAAACACACGGTGCTTCACCATCAGTCAGTTGTAGTTCTCACTCTGAGACTCTTTCTCACTGCACTGATAATAAAATGGGATTCTCACCACAGAGCTGCTGATTCTTTTACTGTCTGCAGGAACCTGAGGAGAAGTTTTACAAAATGTTAAATGTGTTTTTAAGTCGAGCCGTACTTGGCACTTTCCACATAATAGTCTGTATGTTTTATTAGATTGTCCAAAACTGGTGTGGCAGCTGGTGTTTCAATGTATTTTCTAAGGTGCAACTGCCATTACAATATTTGTCTATAGGTCCGCGGTGTTCTTCACTGTGTGTGTGTTCTTCACTGTGTGTGTGTTCTTCACTGTGTGTGTGTGTGTGTGTGTGTGTGTGTGTGTGTGTGTGTGTGTGTGTGTGTTCTTCACTGTGTGTGTGTGTGTGTGTGTTCTTCACTGTGTGTGTTCTTCACTGTGTGTGTGTGTGTGTGTTCTTCACTGTGTGTGTGTGTTCTTCACTGTGTGTGTGTCGTGTGTTCTTCACTGTGTGTGTGTTCTTCACTGTGTGTGTGTGTGTGTGTTTCTTCACTGTGTGTGTGTGTGTGTGTGTGTTCTTCACTGTGTGTGTTCTTCACTGTGTGTGTGTGTGTGTGTTCTTCACTGTGTGTGTTCTTCACTGTGTGTGTGTGTGTGTGTGTTCTTCACTGTGTGTGTTCTTCACTGTGTGTGTGTGTGTGTGTGTGTGTGTGTGTGTGTGTGTGTTCTTCACTGTGTGTGTATGTGTGTGTGTTCTTCACTGTGTGTGTTCTTCACTGTGTGTGTGTGTGTGTGTTCTTCACTGTGTGTGTTCTTCACTGTGTGTGTGTGTGTGTGTGTGTGTGTGTGTGTGTTCTTCACTGTGTGTGTTCTTCACTGTGTGTGTGTGTGTGTGTGTGTGTGTGTGTGTGTGTGTTCTTCACTGTGTGTGTTCTTCACTGTGTGTGTGTGTGTGTTCTTCACTGTGTGTGTTCTTCACTGTGTGTGTGTGTGTTCTTCACTGTGTGTGTTCTTCACTGTGTGTGTGTGTGTTCTTCACTGTGTGTGTGTGTGTGTGTGTTCTTCACTGTGTGTGTTCTTCACTGTGTGTGTGTGTGTGTGTTCTTCACTGTGTGTGTTCTTCACTGTGTGTGTGTGTGTGTGTTCTTCACTGTGTGTGTTCTTCACTGTGTGTGTGTATGTGTGTTCTTCACTGTGTGTGTGTTCTTCACTGTGTGTGTGTGTTCTTCACTGTGTGTGTGTGTGTGTGTTCTTCACTGTGTGTCAGAGTCCTGCATCGGGTCGGGTACCCGCGGGTGACCCGCAAAAAAGGTGATTCGCGGGTGGTATTTTTTCAAACACTTTTTTCCGGGTTCGGTTCTGGGTAAAACAAAGATGATGCGGGTCGGGTCGCGGGTGTTGCGTAATAAATATATTAAAATAATAGTAATTTAGTTTAATGTTTAAATCTTCAGACCTCTCCCCCGCGGGACCGCGCATAATCATAACCTCTTAACATCACCACCTCAGCCATTCGAAATGGCTGAGGTGAAGCTCTCGAGAGGAGAATACAGCATTTTCAATAACACTTCCTCAAGAGCGAAATCCAACGTCTGGAGGCTTTTGGTTCCTAGATGGAGAAAAGAACCAACATCCCACGCTTTTTGAGACAAATATGCAACTGCGTGTGTTAATAATTGCACGTTTTCACTGCTCATAGGCTATGCGGGTTCGGGTCGGGTTGCGGATCTTGTGCCGACGGGTCGGATCGGGTTGCGGAACTAATTGGCAATATGTGCGGGTAGCGGGGCGGGTTCGGTATTGCACGTCGCGGCTGCGGGGCGGGAGCGGGTCTTGAAAATCAGACCCGTGCAGGACTCTGCTGTGTGTGTGTGTGTGTTCTTCACTGTGTGTGTGTTCTTCACTGTGTGTGTGTGTGTGTGTTCTTCACTGTGTGTGTGTGTGTGTGTGTTCTTCACTGTGTGTGTGTTCTTCACTGTGTGTGTTCTTCACTGTGTGTGTGTGTGTGTGTTCTTCACCATGTGTGGTGGTGGCAGGGATTTTAGCTTTTGCAGACCATTGAAGAACATACATGCACAAACATTTTTATAAGTGTACAGGGAAGGGAAACCCCCAAAAAGCATTATAGGCAGGACTGCACATAACTGGTGCGCATGCGCACCTACGCCAACAAAAGAAAAAAGGCGCATTTGCGCACCAACATTGAGAGAGAGGGAGAGGGAGAGGGAGAGAGAGAGAGAAGAGAAAAAAGAGAAGAGAGAGAGAAAGATATTTGCGAGTTGCATATGAACTCAGGGCCGGCCCGTAGCACTGGCGTAATAGATGTTCGCCTCGGGCGCCAGATCTGTGGAGATGCTGCGCTGGCAGCTCTGGGAGGGAAAAAAACATTTTTGACCGTTGGGGCTCATCCTAATTTTCGGTCTTGATGTAACAATATTCATAATTAAGTAAATGTACACCCTTTTCACCCCAGTTACACGTTTCATTTGCCCTGTACGATGGGCGCTGTAAGTGATCAACGTGGGGGATGTTGGCTTATCTGGCGCCCGCAGCTCACAGCCAAAGTGCGAGGGAGAGAGGGAGAGAGGGAGAGAGGGAGGGTGCACCGGTACCGGTGTTGTGCCGTAGATTGAAGCCCTGTTCGCGGGGACGCGCAAACGTGACGTTATCGCCTGTATTGAGCGTTCGTCTAGTTTAATAAACTTTTCTCTCTCTTTTGAATGATATATCAGATTAAACAGCAAACGGCTGAATAAATAATGTGCATACAATTGCGAGGAGGCTCGTTTTAAGGACACTTTTCAGATCTGTCACAATCTTCATATTGGAATAAACTTACGTTTTTGAGTGCAGTCCCACTCTGTTATATTCCTCCTTCCTACAGAACAGGCAATGACAGGATAATATGTGATTTGTCAGTATAGTCCTATTTCTTAAAACCTTCTCTGTTGTTTAAGTGTCTGATAACCACGAATAGTAAGCAATGATATAACAGTAATGATATCACATATATGATCATATATATATATATTAGGGCTGTCAAACGATTACAATTTTTAATCAGATTAATCACAGTTTAAAAATTAATTAATCATGATTAATCACCATTTGAACTATGTCCTAAATAAGCCATTTATTTATGAATATTGTTGTGGGAATGGAAAGATAAATGAAAGAAGGCGGATATATCCATTTAACATAGCTACAGTATCTGTTTATTATAAAACATTTCTGCGTGTCAAAATGAAAGACAGCCCACACACCTATCAATCATCAAACCGTGGGGTCTTATTTCATTACGTGTTGATTTCTATCAACGGGGGAGTACTTCAGGAAAGTCGACAGAGGGGGGGGGGCGGCGGCTAGTGATCAGCTGTTTTAGCGCAGTTCTCCAGTGAAGGGGGGGGGTGGGGGAGTCTCCCTCCGTAGCCGGTTGGCGTAGTTTTGGCACAATTCCGTTGTTCAGACCGACGTTAACAGCAGCCCTGTCTGTGCACACGGAGACCGACTCTGTCGTCCGGTGATCTAACCGCCTTCTGGAAAAGCTTCACAAGTACGTCGGTACGCAAATGCGCTTTGTGACACAAGTGACGGTACGCATTTCAGATTACGCACATAACCTGCGTACCAGTTATGTGCACCCCTGTACTGCAGCAAAAGTATTCTCCGTCGGGACTTCCTGCAACAACACCACGCCGTTATCAAAGATGTTCTATTGAGAAGACGATCACTACGTGACAAAAGTTTTCAAAACCGTGGCTACTGAAATCAATCTTACTAACTGCTGTCTGTGCAATTTACTCCGCGAGTTGGCAGACTTTATTTTGCTTACTTTAACATCATTTTTCATGGTGGGGCTAAGCCATTTCTTGGTATGGGTGTAGCCCACTGGTGGCACACGGGGCGGGCCATTCTGCACATGCGTTAAATGCGTTAAATATTTTAACGCAATTAATTCAAAAAATTAATTACCGCCGTTAACGCGATAATTTTGACAGCACTAATATATATATATGATCACTGTGTTATTTTCAATCAAGCCTAAAAGATAATGTGTTCAAACTGGCTTCACTCACTTGAATTGCTCCTTTGAATATCATTTTTATATATTCCTACTCAACACATGTTTGTATTGTAATGCCACTATTTTTTAAAAATTGTATTTTAAAGTGACATTGAAAGGTGCCCTAAAATAAAGTGTATTATTGATCTTATATCTGTGCCTCTATTACATTACATTTCATTTTCTATCACACTATTAATGTTCCTTATTTTAGACTAGGTTAATCCTGGTGTCAATAGGGAAGATCTGCACTGTTCTCTACATAACATGTTCAGAGCAGGTATTTCTCCTGCCGGATTTGAAACCCCCCCTATATCTTTGTCCAGGATAGTCACAACTTCACCAAAATCACACTGGTGCTTGCTGTCCCCCTCTAGTTTGTGCTCACCAAAGCATTTCACTCTGGGTCCTGCAGGTACAAAACTAAAGAGGGGCTTCAAAATCCGGCAGATCAGGTGTTGGTGTATTCCAATACGAAGATTGTGACAGATCTGAAAAACGTGTCCTTAAAACGAGCCTCCTCGCAATTGTATGCACATTATTTATTCAGCCGTTTGCTGTTTAATCTGATATATCACTCAAAAGAGAGAGAAAAGCTTAGAAAACGGCGAACGCTCAATACAGGCGATGACGTCACCTTTGCGCGTCCCCGCGAACTGGGCTTCAATCCACGGCAAGGTTTCAACCTACGGCATAACACCGGCGCTGTTGTTATTAGAATCTGGTGCCGTGCTAGCTGCTCTAACGGATATAAGAAGAAGATGTTTCTACAATGATGTGGAGGAGAGTCCTCTCCAGTCAGACTGAGAGGCTGATAACTACAGCTCAGTGAGGTAAAGGACTCTTGAGTGTTTAGATAGTTCACTTTAGTCTAAGTTATCTCAGTGGGTCTCAAACGTTTTGATCATAGTTTATGTAAACACATATTTCCAAGGCACTCCTTTATAATTATTGGGATAAACAGGTTTGAAATCATTCCAATGTATACTATAGGACAGTAACCAAACATATCCTTTAAAACTGGAGAGATAAAAAAAAATGCATAAATAAATAAATGTTAAGGTAAAATAAGATATGAATGAACAACACAAATAAAATAAGTTACATTAATTTGTTATTGGCTATGGTAGGTTATTGGTTATGTTCACATACTTATTTGATTACATCCACTTGTCTAAGATCACAACAGAGACTTTCGACCCAAACCCAGCTGTTGACTTGTGGATGCAAGCAGCTAATCACAGACTCAACCAGAGAGAAAGAAGTAGGCCTACATCATCAGCTACCATGTCTGACAGAGAGGAAGACAGTCAGGAGAACAGTCAGGAGGGTAGTGATGACAGCTTGTAGGATTACTGGTCGTGCTAATGTTGTCTTGTGTTCACCTCTGCATGTGTGTTCTGTGTTCACCTCTGCATGTGTGTTCAGTGTTCACCTCTGTGTGTGTGTTCTGTGTTCACCTCTGCATGTGTGTTCTGTGTTCACCTCTGTGTGTGTGTTCTGTGTTCACCTCTGTGTGTGTGTTCTGTGTTCACCTCTGCGTGTGTGTTCTGTGTTCACCTCTGCATGTGTGTTCTGTGTTCACCTCTGCATGTGTGTTCTGTGTTCACCTCTGCATGTGTGTTCAGTGTTCACCTCTGCATGTGTGTTCTGTGTTCACCTCTGCATGTGTGTTCTGTGTTCACCTCTGTGTGTGTGTTCTGTGTTCACCTCTGCATGTGTGTTCAGTGTTCACCTCTGTGTGTGTGTTCTGTGTTCACCTCTGCATGTGTGTTCTGTGTTCACCTCTGCGTGTGTGTTCTGTGTTCACCTCTGCATGTGTGTTCTGTGTTCACCTCTGCATGTGTGTTCTGTGTTCACCTCTGCGTGTGTGTTCTGTGTTCACCTCTGCATGTGTGTTCAGTGTTCACCTCTGTGTGTGTGTTCTGTGTTCACCTCTGCATGTGTGTTCTGTGTTCACCTCTGCATGTGTGTTCTGTGTTCACCTCTGCGTGTGTGTTCTGTGTTCACCTCTGTGTGTGTGTTCTGTGTTCACCTCTGCATGTGTGTTCAGTGTTCACCTCTGTGTGTGTGTTCTGTGTTCACCTCTGCATGTGTGTTCTGTGTTCACCTCTGCATGTGTGTTCTGTGTTCACCTCTGCGTGTGTGTTCTGTGTTCACCTCTGCATGTGTGTTCAGTGCCGTGTGTCTGGCAAATAAAGACCCCCTCAAAAGTTACGGTTTATTTCATTTTAAGGATGAGCACCAAGCAATATCTCCAGGTGCTCCTTTGAGAACCAGGGCAAAAAAGTTATGTGCACCCCTGATTATAGGGCCCTGTTAATATATAATATTGATTTAACCAACATTTTCTCCTTGTTGTCCTCTAAGGACACAAAAGCCTCTTAAAACTAAGTATTTTCTTTAAAGGCTCTAAAACTGTCCAAATGTTCTTTTCCGCAGCACTGCCTCTTACATGTCTTCCCTCTCAGCCTGTCGAGGCCGTGGAGGGAGGATCAGCGACTCTTCAGTGTCGTCTGGACGAACCCATCGACCTGTCCTCTAAAACAGTGGAATGGAATAGAGGACACACCCTTTACGTTCATGTTTATAGAAGTCGGCGCGACGACCCTGATTCCCAGATGCTTCAGTACAGAGACAGAACCGCTCTGAATCATGGAGACCTGACCACAGGAGTCTCGACTCTGACCATCTCCAACGTCTCTCTGTCTGACAATGGGTCTTATGAAGTCTATCTCCCACAGCTGGAGGTCACATGTTTGACTCACCTCACCGTCGGTAAGAGTTTAATACTGAACAGCCTGGAAGCAATTACCAGCAGATCAGCATCTTTTGATAACAACCCACAAACCCCACAAAACTCAAAGCCCAAAACTCACCTTAAACTTTACAATGTGTGTTTATGACTTTGAGAAACAGGAAGGGGAAAAGGGTTTAGACAGATGTATAGTTTTTAAAGGTTTTTTCCTCACTTGACTCTCAAGGCCTGAAGTCATTTTCTTGTTGAACAGTCACTTAATGAATCTGCAGATAATGACTCCTGTTGTCCCTAAATAAGACCTCTCTCATTTGAAACAGTAACAAAGGAGCAAGAGAACCAGACCAAGAGGAAGGACTCCAGCACAACCTCTCCTCCAGCTGGAGAGAGAAATGGTACTTTATTGTAAACCTCTGTAGAGAAATGTAGAGTCTTTGTCCCTCTGGGTAAAGGACAGTCTGATAGTGGGAGCTGGTGTGAAACTGCATCACCTTGGCTCTTCTTGTGAACTGAAATCTCCTCTGATTGTGTTCCAGATGCTTCAAACAGAGAGGCTGGTCGTGCTGCTATCATTCTCACAGTTCTCCTGGTTCTCTGCGTCCTCGTTGTTTGAAGAGTGGGAAGATCCGTAAGTTACAAAATAAATATCACAATATGTCTGACCCAACACACTCACTGGCCACTTCATTAGGTACACCTGTTCAACTGCTCGTTAAGGCAAATATCTAATCAGCCAATCAGGTGGCAGCATCCACTGCATTGAGGCATGTAGACATGGTGAAGTTCAAACAGCATCAAACGGGGAAGAAAGGTGATTTAAGTGACTTTGAACGTGGCATGGTGGCAGACGGCTAGTCTGAGCATTTCAGAAACTGCTGATCAGCTGGGGTTTTCCCTCACAACCATCTCACTCACAGAATGATCCGGAAAGGGGAAAATATCCAGTGAGCGACATTCGGACCATTTTGGTTTTGCTTTATTCCACTAAACACATGTGCTGCTGTAAACATTGCAGTTTTGTCTTTACATGAAACATCACATGCTTCATGTCTGAGTTTTAGATTTATAAAGAAAGATTGACATGAATTTGTTATTTCACTTTTTCATTTGACATCTCTCCCAACCTTGGTTTCTCTCCTTCAGAGGGATGGAGACGCTCAGAGGAGGGAAGGAGGGAAGGAGGGAAGGACAGACAAACGGAGACGGTGGGGAATTAATGCGAAAATACAAATCTGAACACGGACGCAGAAACTGGAGTCCTGCAGAGAGACGGAAACCTCTGAAAGTTACCCGCCGCTAAATGTTCCATTTTCCTGCTGAAAAACTAACCAGATAGAAATGATATCCTCCCTGCTGGCAGAGGTACACATATACAGGATTAAAAACAATGGGACCAATAAAAGGGTCATTCCAGAAATGCAGGACATTTCCGGTCCCACCTACGAAATGTCCAATAATCCATGTCCAAAGAAAAGGAATTTATTTCCACTACAATAAGAGTAATTAGAGTTAACGGGTTGCTGAGGAAGCGCACTCACTCCCTCACTAACATTTTGGCTTGACTATTGGTTTGTTAATAAAGGTAGAACATGTTTCTTCAGAGTTGTCTTTATTAAAGGTAGTCAAGTGTTTAATTTTGTATTTAACCCTTCACTCCGCTTTCAGAACCATGACCTGATTGGCCAGGTTGGATTTGGAAGGCGGGCAGTCTCCTGTAAATGTGGTTGGGAAGAGACGGGAGGGGGGCATGTGTGTTTGTTCCTTGCTGGTGAACGCAGCACCAGGCATGACGTTTTTGTGTCTGGAATAATGTGGAAGGCTAACAATAAAACGGCTGTTTATTTTTGCAAGTAAACCCTCTCTCCACGTCTCGTTCTTTCGCCTGCACCTCACTTTGTAACGGTTGCAGTTCAATTTATTATCTTTAGTCAAATGTAATGTTTACGTGTAATTTAGCATAATCTACCTGCTTTAAATGCATCTTATTTTCCTAGATTATCCCTTTTTTTTATTGCCACCAGGGAGCTTTAAGTTTGCAACAACTAACAACATATCTGAACAGTTACCTCAAAATGAACAAAACGTTGAAGTTATATTTAGATCAAGAGTTTAATAGACATTTAAAAATGTATTTCAAAGTTCTAGCCCATTGAGCGCTGCTTAAAAGGAACTAATCACACATCCAATAAGAAGTGAACCTTTGATGCCTGAGCTGCCAGAAGGTAGTGAAATAAATTGATGGGTAACTTCCTGAACATCTGGAACAAAGGGTTCATTTTTTTAAAGTTCTAATTCTGGAATGACCCTAAAGTGACTCCTCGGCCCAAATATCAGTAAGTTGTGTGTGTTGGCATGGCAACGCTGTGTCATACAGTACATCGTTTTTATTTTAGTCACTTCCAATCTAGTTTTCAAGCAGCACATTTACTCAAACAGGGGTGTGTGTGTGTGTGTAAATTTTTTGTCTTTAACATTTTAACTAGAGGGAGAATCTGCGACTCTTCAGTGTCGTCTGGACCACCCTAAAGTGAGTTGTGACTCCTCGGCCCAAATATCATGTTTTCCATGAGCCTAAAATGACCAAATATCTCTACCTCCACTCAGACTGCAGACATTCAAGTCCTCCTCAGGAACACCGTTCAAACTGTGACCAAATACGTGCAGAACTACTGACGTTCCCATCGAGCTCCGGCCTGCTTTGTGTTTACTGATTAGCACCTGCTAGCTTCCTGATGCTACTCCTTCTAGAAACTATTCGAGCCGACCCTCATCTACGGTGGAAACTACTGAAGGTCAAGTGTCAACAATTCAAAACCTGAGTTTTTAGATCTCTTGAAACCACATCAACTGGTTCTTGCACCAACCCGAAGGAGCTCTTTCTCATAGATCTAATGCAAAGAAACAAATGAAGGCTCCAGCCAGTTTAGAAGTCTGTTTTTATTTATTTTAATATTTGTTGTTCAATCATGTTCATAATCGTTGTGGGAATCACTGCCGACCAATGAGGAGGAATGCTGTATGAAATCAGATGTCTTTTGGATTGACTTGTATGTATCTTTCCTTCTTTTTAAAATATGACTTGTATAGCGTGTCTCTGCTTCTCACTTCCACACACAAACAGTTTTCTGCTTTTGTTTCATGCTGTAAAAAGGGACTAAACTGCAACGTGTTGGCGTTCAGAAGTTGTAATTGTATGTTCTTGTATCCCTGAATGTAAATCAATGTGTACTTTTTTGAATAATGTTACCTGTGCTGGAGTTACCCCCTGAAATGAGTCTTTAATAATAACAGGAACATGTTTTTCATTTGACTTTGTGAGAAAGTCATTGAGTCAAATTCAGTAACTGCTGAAGTCTTCTTAGTCGTCTTGGTCTCCTTGGTCCCTCATTGAACGCTCTGATAAATGAACCGGCCCAAAGAACGACCCCCTCAGTCAAATGAGTCCAGAGGTCAAACTGTACCTCAGGATCCCATGTTATAATTATGAATGCTTTCTACTCCTCTGGATTGTTGAGATAAAAGGATGGTGTTTTCTTTTAACACATGTCTTCCACTTTTAAGAAGCCCCTCGATCAGCTGGGAAACGAATCATCACAAAGCTGAAGGGTGTTTTCTGAGAAACTCAGTCTGACAGGACGCTAAGAGACATGTATCTTATTGAATATAATGCACTGCTGTAGATTAAACAGCCTTAAAGAAGGACCAATGAGCAACACCTTAGCACCACTTCCCAGAGATTGGGACCTTTTTTTCAAAACCTAAAGAAAAAATATGTGGAAAAAAGATGTAGTCTAAAGGAACTCAGAAAAATAATAATGTCCCCTTAAATTTGTTTGTGTTTTATCTCCAATTTCTTCCTAGTATTTACTGGCTGATCTTTAGTATCTCCTTTAGGATGAAAGGCGAGAGGCTCTTTTAGGATGAGCTCAAATGAAGCTGCTGCTCTGCCCCCTGGTGTCCAAGCAGTGAAACTACATGTTTCTCATGTCACTTCATTTCTCACCACAAAGTAACTGCTATTTTAGGAACCGTATATCCTCGGACCTCAACCCGAATGTAGAAATAAATGTCCACTTGAATCCTTATAGGTTATAGAGAGACTTAAAGAGTCTACAGGAAAGGGAGAAGCCCAAAAAGCAGAATCGGGCCTCTTTACTTAGGGATTATTAGAGAAGGGATGTGTCTGATAAATGTCTGGTAGCAACAGATATCTGTATCATCAAGTCCTTATTGGACTGAAGCCGTCCAGATTCTCCTCTTTCTTTGAGTCAGAACCAAAATCACATCCCACACATTGAACCAAACTGATTCATTAGAACAGCGGTTCCCAACCTTTTTCAACTCAGGGCCTCAAGACTCAACAAATGCACGAGGCCCACATTCAACTATAAACAATACGGAGGCTAAATAAAGTTCTGATTGGTCAATTCAGAACATGTGACACGTTGTAAACCCGGTAGTACAGACAGCTGTCGAGGACTGTTGTAGGAGCCATGTTGTGGGTGTTGTTGGTGTCTCAGTTGATTTTATATTGCAATATTATTTTGGACACTTGGTGGCGGGGCTGCACCGGGTGTATAAAAAGGGTCATAGGTGACAGGGGGCAGTGCCTAACTAACACTGACTTTGGACTCCCTAAAAATGAAGGAAAAAAGAAAAAAGTTTACGATTAAACGATTTCTTGGCTGACGGAATGGGCGGAAGTAACGATATTTGTCATTCTAGTCGGACCCATTAGAGCAGGGGTCTCCAACACGTCGACCACGAGCTACCAGTATCTCACAAGCCCTCACTTTACAAATATGTGTTTGAAAGGGGAGTGATTAGTAAAATATCTATAAATAAAAAGAATACTAACTATAGGTAACATAAGATAATAATAAACTAGTTTAAATGATTTGTTATTGGTTGTGATCATATTCTAAAGATTTTTTGATTATTGAAAAGTATACAGCTCCCTTTCATACGAGTGTTGAGAGCTGTATCCATAAATCCATTTTGTGCTCAAAGTGAACCAGATTGATGCATTTAACTTCAACATTTCAAATAAACTCTTCCCCGGGCTGCATGCCCCCGGACCCCCCTAGAGGAGGTGAGGTCCCCCCTAGAGGAGGTGAGGACCCCCCTAGAGGAGGTGAGGCCCACCCCCAAATAAAGCAGGTTCAAATAATTAAATTGCATAGATTTTCTTTTAGTAAACACTGAAAACGGGTCCCACAGACCCAAACAGCACACGAAGGTAAGCATATATATATATATATATATATAATATATATAATAATGTGTAATGAAACAAATACCAATAACTGTATTGCATAGTTTTCTTAGGTGTATGCGCAATTACTTCATACTGTCTTTCTTTTTCATTGTGCCCCCCTCTGAAAATAACTGGGCCCCCCGCAGTCAAATTGGTCAAGAACCGCCACTGGTGACAGGAAAGGCCGAGGACACCGATTCCACCAGCCCGGCAGATGCTCTCCACAACTAGACTGTAATTAAACCTTGGTATGTAAACGATAAAATAAAACATCATTCTAAACTGCAGCAAAAGACCGGAAAATCATCGGTTTGTGTCTGCGTCAGGATCACTCCTCCCGTGAAGTCATGGCACAAGGACATTGGAACATTAAAATTGCCATTACAACTGTACTGTGCGTTGCTAAGGAGGATCAAGAAAGAGAAAGGAAAGGCGGTTCAAATCAAAATCTTAATAATGAAAATGTTTCCACACAAATCATAATGTTTTGCAAATTATTTGGCGGCCCACTTGCAAAGCGCTCAGGTTGGGATCCGCTGCATTAGTAAGAACGAAAGAGACAGGAAAACATGAAACACGCTGAAAGCCTGAACTACAGACACTTTACGAAACCAAAGAATATGTAGACGTGGATTTTCTCTCGGTAATCATCTACGTCATTCTGCAACCAATTTTATTTTCCATTAGGTGTTATATATGTACAGGTTATTCATCAGTTTCAGTGCTGCTTCATCCATTTGTGATCATCTCCTCCCGGTGTGAGATCATACAAAATAAATTACAGATCTGCTTTCCAGGCCTGCGCTCTCACCTCGCTCATTAAAATCAACTTGCACTAATTTCACATCATTTAGTTTGTTTTATAATCCTTTTTCACTTTAATGAACACCAACTGTAGTTTGAAACACAAATAAAGAAAAGAAACAACACAAATGTTCCAGGGTGTTTTGGGATGGGGGGGGGGGGGGGGGCTCGACAACAGGTTCTTGTTCTTGGATGTTTTCAAAAAATAAAAACACATCAAATTGTAAATTCTATATAGATATACTCGCTCAACAAGTCTGCATAATCTGTCACATTAGATACATTTGACGGTACGTGGAAACCTCCTTTCTTCACCGCTTCGACATGTGTTCTGCAAACCAGTGGAACCGTTTCAAGGCCTCCGAGTTCGTCACCGAGGCGTTTCCTCATGTCTTACAGAATGAAAAAGGCCTCGAAGAGAAGTGTTAAATTATTATACTCGCTTTCCCTCTTCTTAGAATATAAGATTATCTCAACATTTAAATAAACCACTGAATCTGATGTCTTATAAAACACGCCGATATCTTCCATTTCCCTGATAGAGAAACGGGGGGTTAAATATTGAGCTTTGGGTTTTTTTGGGGGGGGGGAGTGGGGGGGAGACAGGTAACCATGACCTTTTTCACTTACTTCATTTAAAGGAACATCGTCCGCAAAAAAAAGCTTGCATTATACAGTTTACAATGTAGTACCATGCTAGCGCTGCTCGCCTCGCCCTAACCATTTATTAGCAATGGAGAATCAGTGTTGTTGAAAACTACAACACACACACACACTCACACACACACACACTCACACTACTGTTATAACCCCATTCTGCACAATCACAGGAGGAGGGAGTGACTAACGGAGAGCGGGAGGGGAAATGAAACAGATCATTTGTTAGAACAAAAGCAGCAAATGCAGAAAATCACCCTTCATGCATTCAAAATGAACGTGGAGAAAACCAGGGGGGGGGATATGGGGGGAGGAAATGGGGGATTCACAGTTTTCTCAGCTATGATGCAGAGATGGAGGGTCAGGTGGAGATCATTTTGAGGATGTGTCTGCGATTGGCTGAGCGCCGGTGTTATACCGTGTCTGGGGGGGGGGGGGGCAGAATGGGGGTACAACTACATTCCTGTCCTGACTAAAATGAGTTTGCGGTTAACGTAGAAAGAGTCTCTCTGTGTTTCCATCGCCGTGTTCAATTCCTGGCTTTGCCTTCTTGTTTTCATACAGTTTCTTTAGAGAAATTAAGCCTGCTGTGCGTACGCTCTGGTCTGTAGTTGGGGAAGGGAGGGGGGACAGCGAAGATGCTGGGAGGTCCACGCTGAAGGGGGGGGGCGGGGGCTCAGCCGGTGGGGGGACCTTTGCGCTTCAGTAGATACTGAGAGATGTCGTCTGCGTCGCGCTTCAGCCAGGCGGCGTTCAGCAGGATGTTCTCGCAGCACTGCTCCACCGTGCGCTCCGCCGAGGGCGCCGGGTGGCTCTCAAAGAAACTCTGAGGACACAGATAGTCATAATATTATTAAAGGTCCTCTATTATACTGTTTCTCATCAATATATCACAGATACATACAGAGCCTGTCTCTGATTGGCTGAAACACCAAACAGATCATTGCAGCATTACCCATAATCCCCTCTGTTTCAGCCCTGTTTCCAAAGTGCTGATTCTCTGTCTGTTACTTTAGATGAAAATAAGGAGCCCCTCCCCACGCCCCTCTGAGAGACATTTGGTTACAAAGAACTCAATGGTGCTCTAGGAGGAGATTCAGGTGATAAGGGGGGGGGGGGGGGGGGGGGGGGGGGGGGGTTACCTTGGTTTGCTGATTGGCTAATGGTTAAACAAGACAACACATCGTTATGACATCATCAAGGGGCCAAAATCTGATCAGCTCATTTTCAGACAAGTTTTTATAGAAATGGATCAAAAAGAGAGAGAATCTTTTGTTTCCTTAAACTTTCAGAGTCTCTTTCCACATAGGGGACACTGTTGAATTAAAAGATACATGGAGAAGGTACAACATGTTGATGTAGAAGAGACATGAAGAGATGGGACAAACATGTTGATGTATAAGATACATGAAGGAAGAGGGGACAGAAGAGGGACACATGTTGATGTAGAAGAGACATGAAGAAGAGGGGACACATGTTGATGTAGAAGAGACTGAAGAAGAGGGGGACCATGTTTGATGTAGAAGAGACATGAGAGAAGAGGGGACACATGTTGATGTAGAAGAGACATGAAGAAGAGGGGACACATGTTGATGTAGAAGAGACATGAAGAAGAGGGACACATGTTGATGTAGAAGAGACATGAGAAGAGGGGACACATGTTGAATGTAGAAGAGACATGAAGAAGAGGGGACACATGTTGATGTAGAAGAGACATGAAGAAGAGGGGACACATGTTGATGTAGAAGAGACATGAAGAAGAGGGGACACATGTTGATGTAGAAGAGACATGAAGAAGAGGGGACACATGTTGATGTAGAAGAGACATGAAGAAGAGGGGACACATGTTGATGTAGAAGAGACATGAAGAAGAGGGGACACATGTTGATGTAGAAGAGACATGAAGAAGAGGGACACATGTTGATGTAGAAGAGACATGAAGAAGAGGGGACACATGTTGATGTAGAAGAGACATGAAGAAGAGGGGACACATGTTGATGTAGAAGAGACATGAAGAAGAGGGGACACATGTTGATGTAGAAGAGACATGAAGAAGAGGGGACACATGTTGATGTAGAAGAGACCATGAAGATGAGGGGACACATGTTGATGTAGAAGAGACATGAAGAAGAGGGGACACATGTTGATGTAGAAGAGACATGAAGAAGAGGGGACACATGTTGATGTAGAAGAGACATGAAGAAGAGGGGACACATGTTGATGTAGAAGAGACATGAAGAAGAGGGGACACATGTTGATGTAGAAGAGACATGAAGAAGAGGGGGACACATGTTGATGTAGAAGAGACATGAAGAAGAGGGGACACATGTTGATGTAGAAGAGACATGAAGAAGAGGGGACACATGTTGATGTAGAAGAGACATGAAGAAGAGGGGACACATGTTGATGTAGAAGAGACATGAAGAAGAGGGGACACATGTTGATGTAGAAGAGAGAGAGAGACCTGAACCAGAGGGGACACATGCTTGATGTAGAAGAGACATGAAGAAGAGGGGACACATGTTGATGTAGAAGAGACATGAAGAAGAGGGGACACAGTGTTGTATGTAGAAGAGACATGAAGAAGAGGGGACACATGTTGATGTAGAAGAGACATGAAGAAGAGGGGACACATGTTGATGTAGAAGAGACATGAAGAAGGAGGGGACACATGTTGATGAAGAAGAAGAGACATGAAGAAGAGGGGACACATGTTGATGTAGAAGAGACATGAAGAAGAGGGGACACATGTTGATGTAGAAGAGACATGAAGAAGAGGGGACACATGTTGATGTAGAAGAGACATGAAGAAGAGGGGACACATGTTGATGTAGAAGAGACATGAAGAAGAGGGGACACCATGTTGATGTAGAAGAGACATGAAGAAGAGGGGACACATGTTGATGTAGAAGAGACATGAAGAAGAGGGGACACATGTTGATGTAGAAGAGACATGAAGAAGAGGGGACACATGTTGATGTAGAAGAGACATGAAGAAGAGGGGACACATGTTGATGTAGAAGAGACATGAAGAAGAGGGGGACACATGTTGATGTAGAAGAGACATGAAGAAGAGGGGACACATGTTGATGTAGAAGAGACATGAAGAAGAGGGGACACATGTTGATGTAGAAGAGACATGAAGAAGAGGGGACACATGTTGATGTAGAAGAGACATGAAGAAGAGGGGACACATGTTGATGTAGAAGAGACATGAAGAAGAGGGGGACACATGTTGATGTAGAAGAGACAGAGAAGAGGGGACACATGTTGATGTAGAAGAGACATGAAGAAGAGGGGACACATGTTGATGTAGAAGAGACATGAGAAGAGGGGACACATGTTGATGTAGAAGAGACGAAGAAGAGGGGACACATGTTGATGTAGAAGAGACATGAAGAAGAGGGGACACATGTTGATGTAGAAGAGACATGGAGAAGAGGGGACACATGTTGATGTAGAAGAGACATGAAGAAGAGGGGACACATGTTGATGTAGAAGAGACATGAAGAAGAGGGGACACATGTTGATGTAGAAGAGACATGAAGAAGAGGGGACACATGTTGATGTAGAAGAGAATAATATGGACACATGTTGAGTAGAAGAGACATGAAGAAGCGGGGACACATGTTGATGTAGAAGAGACATGAAGAAGAGGGGACACATGTTGATGTAGAAGAGACATGAAGAAGAGGGGACACATGCTGATGTAGAAGAGACATGAAGAAGAGGGGGACACATGTTGATGTAGAAGAGACACGAGGAAGAGGGGACACATGTTGATGTAGAAGAGACATTGAAGAGAGGGGACACATGTTGATGTAGAAGAGACACGAAGAAAGAGGGGACACATGTTTGATGTAGAAGAGACACGAAGAAGAGGGGACACATGTTGATGTAGAAGAGACATGAAGAAGAGGGGACACATGTTGATGTAGAAGAGACATGAAGAAGAGGGGACACATGTTGATGTAGAAGAGACATGAAGAAGAGGGGACACATGTTGATGTAGAAGAGACATGAAGAAGAGGGGACACACGTTGATGTAGAAGAGACATGAAGAAGAGGGGACACATGTTGATGTAGAAGAGACATGGAGAAGAGGGGACACATGTTGATGTAGAAGAGACATGGAGAAGAGGGGACACATGTTGATGTAGAAGAGACATGAAGAAGAGGGGACACATGTTGATGTAGAAGAGACATGAAGAAGAGGGGACACATGCTGATGTAGAAGAGACATGGAGAAGAGGGGACACATGTTGATGTAGAAGAGACATGAAGAAGAGGGGACACATGTTGATGTAGAAGAGACATGAAGAAGAGAGGACACACGTTGATGTAGAAGAGACATGAAGAAGAGGGGACACATGTTGATGTAGAAGAGACATGAAGAAGAGGGGACACATGTTGATGTAGAAGAGACATGAAGAAGAGGGGACACATGTTGATGTAGAAGAGACATGAAGAAGAGAGGACACACGTTGATGTAGAAGAGACATGTAGAAGTGGATTTTGCATAATAGGTGACCTTTAACATTCTCTGAACTGAAAAGTATAGAATATATGAACTAAATATAATTGAATCAGCTAAATTAACTCAGATCATAATAACATTTATAATTGTGCATCTGTGTCGCTCCAGATTTTCTGAGAAATGTTAAGGCTAATGTCCCAACGATATTTATCTTATTTGTTTCAAGAATTGTGTTCAAAACAGGTTAAATGTAATGAAGAACATGTTATGTAAGCATTGTAATTCTTAAATGGCTTGAATCTTACTTTTAGAAACAAAAAACAAGCTTTTGAAATGTAGCTAGTTCCTGTCGTGTGTTAGCATCGCACATGACAGACATGTTGTCATGGCAACACAAAGTCACATGCCGACAGACATGTTGTCATGGCAACACAAAGTCACATGACCTGGCCCAGGACCCAAGAGACTGTTCAGGGTGTGTCACTTAGGGACTTCATGAGATAAAATAAAAGGCTAAAGCTGTATGAGGAACTTTCCAGAACACTTAAGTCATGTGACACCTGGGTTCTTATGGGTTGGAACACAACACATTCAAACAATTCAATAACGTTTCAGTTTGGTATCGAGATTAAAGCTGCTGCGGAGTAGACCTCGATGTTCAGACGATAGACATGTCTGTACTGTGAGGTCGTGCTGCCCTCTAGTGGTCAAACGTGTGAAGTTATTTGTAGTATATGTCACCGACAGGAACAAACCAAATATCTGCAGAACAAGTGAAGCGCTCTCACCTTTATTTCAGCAGCCATTTTGTCGATAGCAAATCCATTAACTGTGAGCTGCAAAGACACGACGACAGGAAACGTGTGAGCGCAGTAAACAAGAACGACATTGTGAAAAGTTAACTACATTTCTACTTATTCACTCAGCAGAATAAATGGTTCTGTTTGTTGCTGATGTACCTGGAGCTCACCTGAGCTTTAAGCCCTTTTATGGAATAATAGGAAAAACGTTTTTACAACAAAATAAAATAACAAATCAGTTGAAGACAATAACCTTTGAACCTCACGGGAAGCATTTTTGGATTCTCAATTGTTCCATTATTTTGGCATTTGTTGTACATTTGGGAAGGGTGTGAAGTTTCTTTCAAATAGTAAAACTGCTGGTTTCAAAATTGTAAATGAAATAGTTTACCAGATCGAGCCATTATCTAATGGTATGTGTTATGAATATAGTAATATTAATCATATATGTTATACATTGTTTTCGTAATCATTAGGTTAGTTAAAACATTTGACTCTGTAATAGAGAATAATATGAATATACAACTTCATGGCAATTGTTTGACCCAGATAGCTTTTCATTTCGAGGCACAGGGTTAATGTCTCAGGGCCACCATCAGTGTTTTATGTACCTTGATGAGCCGTGATATGAGGAAGCCGCCCTGGTAGCGGTTGTAGAGCTCCTCCCAGTTGTCCTTCACAAACTTCCAGGCAGCTTTACGGCCTTGTTTACTGCTGTCAGCGACGCCTCCGATCACTAACACTGTGTCCTGGGGACGGACCTCTTCCTGTGGGGGGGGGGGGGGGTGGGGGGGGGGAAGAGAGGTTAGCTCAGGAGAGGTTTTGATCAGCCAACGTCTTCACTGACTGGAGGAAAATCCTGTCACACTTTGGACGTTGAACTGAAAAGCAGAAAGGTTATAAACTGATTCTCTACGGATCACTTGGTGTGTTGTTTTATTGCAGAGTCAGTGTAATCATTACACCGCACTGGGTCACATTCTCCTCCAAAACACACAAGCAGTAAAAACAGCCGTCATGTTTTTGAAATGCAACCTTAAAGTGTTGCAATCTTTCAGGAGGGATGGTTTTATAACACAGGATGAAGATCAGAGAGTAAAGACACAAACTGACCTGGGGTCTTTCAGAAACCCCCTTCAGTGTATCCTCTTGGGGTTTAGTGACTATAAAGCAGGTAACTGGTCCAGGGGGTGTTTTACGACATGCGTTTTATTTGTGGGTTTTTTTATACTATTTTTTTATTCTGCATGTTCCTCACTGCTGAGCACTCGCTCACTAAGACGCGGCGTTTGCAAGCATTACGAGATTTTTAAGGGAGTTAATTGTTCCATTGGATTTCCGAAAATATATCAGAAAATAAGATCTATGGCAAACCCAGGTTTATGATACTTGCATGTTTTGTTCAGCAGGATAATCTCCACATCAACACAGTAAAAAGCTAATGTTGGGCTATAAAGTTACTACAGCACGGTCACATGACTTCACGTCACCACCGCTAAGCTAAAGGCGGCTAATGTTGGGCTATAAAGAACTACAGCACGGTCACATGACTTCACGTCACCATCGCTAAGCTAAAGGCGGCTAATGTTGGGCTATAAAGAACTACAGCACGGTCACATGACTTCACGTCACCATCGCTAAGCTAAAGGAGGCTAATGTTGGGCTATAAAGGAACTACAGCACGGTCACATGACATCACCACCGCTAAGCTAAAGGAGGCTAATGTTAGTCGTCTCATTTAGACTCTTGCTAGCAAACCGGCATTTTTTTTATTTACCGATGGGGTATTTACTGACATATTTTATGCCGAAGAACCAAACATTAAAATCTCTTCAGCTTGTGTTAACCAGTCCTTATTTCAAGGGTTCTAAAACATTTTCAAATAAACATCGACTTTGATTCGAGGGGAACCAGAAGTTAAAAATGCCAACTTATTGAGTTTTAGGACTCATTTCTGCACCGCCCTATTGTACAAACACTGTTTTGTGCATTTGTTGCCTCACGTACACACATCTTCCTCTTCCTCAGTGACTGGGGGAAATAACAGCAATGTTTGCAACATGTGGTGAACGTGTGTGTACCGAGAGGGCGAAGGTGAGGACTTTCTGGATGAGGTCGGGGGCAGAGATGGCTCCCAGCACTCGCTCGATGCGGTTCCTCTCCTCCTGCATGTCTGCCAGTTTGTGGAGCTGGAAAACACAACAAAAAACATATGAACCAAGTGTTGTGAAGATTATCATTTTTTTGATTATTTGATTGTTTTTATTCTAATTGAGTTGAATCTACATATAGAGATATGAGTGTCATATAGTATCTGTAAATATGTAGATTCAGCTACTCTGTATTTTTACTTTATGTTATGGTTGTTAGTCTTATTAATAATGTAACTTACATGTTTACCATAATTGTGTCAAATCAAGATTTATTTATATAGCACATTTTTAAAACGACTTTTGGTCGAGCCAAAGTGCTGTACATGCAATAAAAACACTTTTACTACAATAGCAAACAGAAGACAATAAATTACAACAGAAAAAGTCAAATCACACACAGGGAAATGTCAGGAGTCGTGCTCCGCTCTGACTAGAAGGCCAGAGAGAAGAAGTGAGTCTTAAGTGTAGTTTAAAAAACCCCCAGGGTCTGGGCCGACCTCACATGTACCTCATTCACACCAACGCAACTCCGGTTCAAGCTCCGTGCTAGAGCTTTTCAGGTTCAGAACCGGTTCTTCGGTTTAGCTCCGGCTCTTTTCACACCGCCCAGAGTCCGACCGGTGCTGCGTCATTGCGTCATCGTTTGCGTCATGACGTAACCGTTTGCGTGCCTGCTTCATAAGCCAAACCGCGGAAACCCCTCACAGCTGACACCGACAACAACAACAATGGCCGATTGTGCTCCAGCTTCCTCTGTACCTCTTCAGAAGACCAGATTCCCAGCAGGTAGCTGGTCTCTTCAGTGGACCACTGCTGCTTGTTAAGTTTCTCCATCGTTGTGTACAAACTGGATAAAACGCAGGCTTTTTGTTGTTGTTCAGGAGTTGATCTGCCCCTGCCCCCGCCTCGACGTAAGCGTGACGTATGCGGTGCTTTTGCTCTGGCCGGACAATTTTTTGGTGCTTGAAACGAACTGGATTCCGGAGCTAAGAGGCTGCTCCGCTGCGGTGTGAAGAGGAAAACCCGGTGCTTTTCAAGCTCCAGCTCTGAACCGGCCCCGAAACACCTTTGGTGTGAATGAGGTAATGGAGGGGCAGAGTGTTCCAGAGCCTGGGGCCAGCTGCTGCGAAGGCTCGGTGACCTCTGGTTTTGAGCCTGGTCTTGGGCACTATCAGCAGCAGCTGGTCAGCAGACCTTAAAGCTCTGGCTGGGGTGTAGCGCTGGAGGAGTTCTGCTATATAAGCCGGAGCCAGCCCATTTAGTGCTTTGAAAACAAATAAAAGAAGTTTAAAATCCATTCTGAACCGAGTGTAGTGAGGCCAGAATTGGGGTGATGTGGTCACGTTTTTTGTGGCCAGTCAGAAGACGTGCAGCTGCGTTTTGGACTAGCAGCAGGCATTTCATTGAGGCCTGGTCCATACCCACATACAGAGCGTTGCAGTAATCCAGTCTCGAGGTAACAAAGGCATTAATAACCCTTTCCAGGTCTTTAAAAGATAAAAACGACTTGGTTTTGGCCAATAGTCGTATTTAAAAAAAAAAGCAGGATTTGACTACGCTGCTGACCTGCTTGTCGAATTTAAAAGTGCAAGTGAAGGTCACTCCAAGGTTCATGACAGAGGGGAGGATGTTTTCATTGAGAGAGCCCAGAATTTCAACCGGAGAGGCTGGAGGTTGGGGTGCAAAAGAAGATCTGTCTTGCTCTCGTTGAGGTTGAGGACATTTTTGGCTCAGCCAGGATTTTTTTGTCCTTATTATCCTTGTGTAAACTAATCTTAATTATCTTGTGTTTCACTCGTAATCTGTTGCTATGACACTACAGGGATTGTTAAATGTTTATCTTATCAATTATCTGTTTATTTATCTGTGTGTGGGATGGAGCAACAACTACATGTTATTGTGCAATATGGTATTGTATAATGACAATAACAAATCCTTGAATTCCTTTAAGGGGATTTTTTAAGTTCAATCACTCATTTAAGTAATTTGTTAGTGAAGTTGTCTCTGAAAGTCTTCATGTCACAGTCTAACGTTTACTGCAGTCTCACCTTCATCATTGTTTCCAACGTGGCACTGTCTCCATGCTTCAGCACTGTTAAATACACCTGAAACAAAAACACATTTCAGTCAAAGCGTTACTCAAATAGGATTCCTGCAGTTTAAACTAAATCTAACTAGTTTGATGATAGAACATGAATACTTTAAGATGCTAGTGGTATTTTGGTTGTCATATTTTGGAGACAGAAAATGTAATAATGTAAAATAGACGCTGTTTGAGAAGCACTTTGGACTCCAGGTGGGCGGTGTATAAACAGCACCGTGGTGAAGAGGAGATATGCTGAATGTTTATCAACACACTGCAGCTGAGGAGTTGGAATATGTCTCAGAAAGGTGAAAGAAGGACAAATGATAGCCCATGCCTTGATTTGATTTTAAAAACAAGAAAGGAACAAATTGGCATTGGTTAACACAGGGTCTATGCAAGAATCCTGAAGTCAAATGTGAGACCTTTTTAAAGACCCTTTCCATACATTCTAAGACCTCATCGCCACTTTGAGTTTTAACCGGTTACCTTGGCGACACACTTTACCTCACATTCACTATACACAGTATTGATTGTCCTTCCTCCTTATCTTCCAACCATTTGGACGCAAACTTGCATTTCCCCATAACGATGTTGTTTAACAGCCGCCGTAAACGGACCTTCAAGCGCTATCAAGCAGTGAGCGTGAGATGTCCTGTTCAGATGACGTCAAACCCAACGGGATGCCATCAATAAACTTCACAGAATCACACTACACACCTACGCCATGATTACATTCAGGCAGACTGTGGAATACAACCTCTTTGGACCATTTATATACTTATTGAAAACAAGCTACAACATGTAAGACCTTGGAAAATGCCATTTAATACTTTTTAATAGGCTTCATTTTCGCTAAATTGATTTATCAACTTTTAATACTTTTTAAGACCCCGCGGACCCCCAGCATGAATATAAAGGCGGTTTTGATGGAGGTCTCTGAGGTGTCTCTGCTCACCGGGCTCCTCAGGTCTGCAGGCAGGACCTGCTTCCCCTCCACATGGTCTCTGAATCTCCGCCGCGCCTCCTCCAGAGTGGGTTTGTGTCCCGCCTTCCCCAGCTTGCCCAGAACCAGACTCCTCAGCAGGGCGTCCAGGTGGCCTGAGAGACACAGCACACGCTAGTTATTATCTTTAGTCAAAGTCAATCTTTATTGTCAATCTTTCAGTTTGTGTGTACAGATGGAGAGATCGAAATACTGTTTCCCACAAACCCGAATACAAATATATAAAAATATGTACAGTGGGGCAAAAAAGTATTTAGTCAGCCACCAACTGTGCAAGTTCTCCCACTTAAAAAGATGAGGCCTGTAATTGTCATCCTAGGTATACCTCAACTATGAGAGACAGAATGAGAAAAAGAAATCCAGGAAATCACATTGTCTGATTTTTAAAGAATTTATTTGCAAATGATGGTGGAAAATAAGTATTTGGTCAATAACAAAAGTTCATCTCAATACTTTGTTATATACCCTTTGTTGACAATGACAGAGGTCAAACGTTTTCTGTAAGTCTTCACAAGGTTTTCACACACTGTTGCTGGTATGTTGGCCCATTCCTCCATGCAGACCTCCTCTAGAGCAGTGATGTTTTGGGGCGGTCGCTGGGCAACACGGACTTTCAACTCCCTCCAAAGATGTTCTATGGGGTTGAGATCTGGAGACTGGCTAGTTTGAAGTTTGAAACCTCCTTTCCTATCATCCAGAGCAGGGGTTCCCAACCTTTATTGTGCCAAGGACCGGCAGATACATTAAAAAGAAATCGCGGACCGGTTGTCAATTTTAACTGATTTTAATATTTACTCACCAGCAAGTAGCAACAGAGGCTAATTGTATGTAACAGCCTGAACAAATACTAGAACAATATGCATCCAAAACATATTAACAATGTTTTTAAAAAATAACCGGTGTTGTTTTTTGGTTTTTCGGAAAAACGGAAAACCAAAAAAACCAACGTTATTCAGTCTTTAAACCAAAACGGGAAAACAGATAAATCAACGTTTTGGTTTTGTTTGTATGATTTACGGATAATCATGGGAAAACAAGGAGAAGGCGCATTATGAAGGAGGGGTGTGTGTGTGTGTGTGTGTGTGTGTGTGTGTGTGTGTGTGTGTGTGTGTGTGTGTGTGTGTGTGTGTGTGTGACTGGCATTTGTTTTCAGAAGATATTATGATAGTGACGTTCGTTCCGGTCCACGTCCGACAGCATTTAGCACTAGGGCCTACATCGAGATTAAGATTAAACTAATTTATTTTGGGAACACCCGCATATAGGCTACCTATGGAGTTAGCCAGATGTGCGTAAATTACTGTTCATGGTCATTTGAAAACAAATGCCGGTGTTGGAGACACAAACACACCGAACACACAGAGCTGAGCTGAGCAGAGCACACACATAATGCGCCTTGGTGACTGGACATCTCCTTCATAAAACTAATACAAGGGAGAGTAATCAGGCAGTTCGATGTGTGTAGAGGTGTGTGTAGAGGTGTGTATAGAGGTGTGTGTGGTTAACACGTAGCAGCCTGCAGTCACTCGCTGTTCTGATGAAGGTAAACACAGCGAAGGCGGTGCGTAAAAAGGCACATCTTTACCCGCTGGTGCTTTACTTCTCAGAGGCGGAGTATACGTCCCGCTGCCTCCTGATGCTGCAGCCATATCATGAAGTGAAGGAGGTGTTCCTTCTATAAAACAGCTGCGGGCAGCAGATACCGTGAGAGTCCCGGACATGAATTCATAGATCAAGGCAGACTGGTTTATTCTCCTGTTTTGCAATTCCGGTGCTTAAACAAATAGCTCTACACCCCTGGCCGACATGTCCTTAAAATGAAGTCCGAGTTTGAAATATATCTCAAATAATGTATGCACTGCCATTTCCCCACATAAACATAACAGTCTGCAATTAAACGGTTGTCTCCTGTGCGCTCCTCTTCCTACTTGGCGCACCGGTAACTTTCTCGTGCGCACGAGAGGCTGAGACCCTGAGCCGCCGAATCCCTCGGAACATCATAAAAGCCATGGCATTTTTAACAGTTTTCTAGTGAAAGTTTAACCAAGCTACTGGATGAAATAATATGACTGGTATTATAGGTGCAAAAATTAAATACTTTTCGAAAAAAATATTATGATAAAAATATTTTTATATATTTATAATTCTGCAAATATTACGATAAACTCACAGCTATTTCGCGGACCGGGGGTTGGGAACCCCTGCTCTAGAGCAGTGATGTTTTGGGGCTGTCGCTGGGCAACACAGACTTTCAACTCCCTCCAAAGATTTTCTATGGGGTTGAGATCTGGAGACGGGTTAGCCACTCCAGGACCTTGAAATGCTTCTTACGAAGCCACTCCTTCGTTGCCCGGGCGGTGTGTTTGGGATCATTGTCATGCTGAAAGATGTTCACGTTTCATCTTCAATGCCCTTGCTGATGGAAGGAGGTTGTCACTCAAAATCTCACGATACATGGCCCCATTCATTCTTTCCTTTACACGGATCAGTCGTCCTGGTCCCTTTGCAGAAAAACAGCCCCAAAGCATGATGTTCCCACCCCCATGTTTCACAGTAGGTGTTCTTTGGATGCAACTCAGCATTCTTTCTCCTCCAAACACGTCTAGTTGAGTTTTTACCAAAAAGTTCTATTTTGGTTTCATCTGACCATATGACATTCTCCCAATCCTCTTCTGGATCATCTAAATGCTCTCTAGCAAACTTCAGACGGGCCTGGACATGTACTGGCTTAAGCAGGGGGACACGTCTGGCACTGCAGGATTTGAGTCCCTGGCGGCGTAGTGTGTTACTGATGGTAGCCTTTGTTACTTTGGTCCCAGCTCTCTGCAGGTCATTGACTCGGTCCCCCCGTGTGGTTCTGGGATTTTTGCTCACCGTTCTTGTGATCATTTTGACCCCACGGGGTGAGATCTTGCGTGGAGCCCCAGATCGAGGGAGATTATCAGTGGTCTTGTATGTCTTCCATTTTCTAATAATTGCTCCCACAGTTGATTTCTTCACACCAAGCTGCTTACCTATTGCAGATTCAGTCTTCCCAGCCTGGTGCAGGTCTACAATTTTGTTTCTGGTGTCCTTTGACAGCTCTTTGGTCTTGGCCATATGGAGTTTGGAGTGTGACTGTTTGAGGTTGTGGACAGGTGTCTTTTATACTGATAACGAGTTCAAACAGGTGCCATTAATACAGTTAACAAGTGGAGGACAGAGGAGGCTCTTAAAGAAGAAGTTACAGGTCTGTGAGAGCCAGAAATCGTGTTTGTTTGTAGGTGACCAAATACTTATTTTACCGAGGAATTGACCAATTAATTCATTACAAATCCTACAATGTGATTTCCTGGATTCTTTCCCCCCATTCTGTCTCTCATAGTTGAAGTGTACCTAGGATGAAAATTACAGGCCTCTCATCTTTTTAAGTGGGAGAACTTGCACAATTGGTGGCTGACTAAATACTTTTTTGCCCCACTGTATATACCTAGATATACACAATCAGACATATCAGAGGTCTGGGCTAAAGTATACTTAATCACAGGGTAAAAAACAACAACAACACAGTGGTACATTTTATGGTAAATTACCTTACATCAAAAAGTGATCCTGTGAGCCCAGAGGCCTGTACTACGAAGCAGGATTTTCGCTTAGCCGTAACTTCAGGGAAAACTCTGGGTTTCCGGTCCTACGAAGCTGGTTCTCTTTTTAGCGGGCTAGATCTCCATGGTAACTTATGTTGTGCGACTAACCTGCCCCGGAGCAGGTTAGGTTGCAGGCTAAGAGCTCAACTCAGTGAAAGCACTGCCTGCTGACCAATCAGAGCTCAGTGTGCGGAGTTTAAAGCGATCAAGTCATATTACAGGAGAAAGGAAATACAGAAAAGCTGCCGTCGCAGGAAAGACGGAAAAAATCACCGACTGTGTGAACGTGAACATTAATAGAATATCAGCTCCATCTTCAGAGCAATCTGACTATTATAACATTAGCGTTAAGAAAGCTTACTTAAATATCTGCCACAACATAAGTAACCGGATCAGAGTAACATTAAGTACAGTCCGCGGCATATCACTTCATAATGTATCATATATCTCCTTATCTGAGTCAGCTGAGCCGTATCTGGCCGTGCAACACTCACAGCGTCACAGACTGTATGCAGAAGTATTATTTTAAGCAACACATTAAGTTGACGAAACACTCGAGACAAATGTAATGAAAGTCAGATCGTGTCTTAGACGGGGCAGTGATATCATAAACCTGTTAATGTACGCATTCAAACACTTGTTCTGTTCCCAGCTGTATTCACCTTGCAGGTGCAGCTCTGTGGCTTTGATCCTGGATCAAGTGTTTAAGTCATGGATGTTTAAAGTTTAACTTCTTCATATGTCTAATATTATAGTTCACTTTTCATTCAGGAAGTATGACGCTGCGCTGTCAGTATGCTTCTCCATGTTTGTGATTGGTCGAATGCTCCAGATACCACCCCTTTCATGTGAACGCGCACCTAACTAGATAGGACATGGCTGGCTTGAGCGATCCACTTGATAACCAGCGTCGTAGGACAGTTTAGCGAGAGCGCGTTTGTTTTGGATTAGGCCAACCGGCTAACTCAAACATATCCAGGTTAGGTTGAACCAGCTTCGTAGTACAGGCCTCAGGAATTACATTATTGTGAGCCATAAACCAAGTGGATTATGGTGTAAGATTTAAAAATAAACAACTTCTCAACTCAACAAAAGTGATCAACCTTTGCTTGGGATGCATACCGGTATCCGGTATTACCGAAATACCGGTTACGGTATACCGTACCGAAATCAGATCCGGTTTCGATACCGTACATTTTTTTAAATTTCATTTTAAAAGTGAGTCCGTGGCCCGTGATGGCGGGTGTTATAAATTAGATTGCATAATCGTTTTCCTTCATATTTTATGTATTTCTGTTTGTTCAATACTAGAAAGGTAAAAGTCCCACAAATGAACTGATGGGATTTGTTTTCTCTCACCAGTGAAGGCATGTTGATTTTAAAGATGAGATTTGTTTGTTTGTGCAATGCCGAGATCTCATGACCTTTATTCTATTATTTATTTGTTCTCTAGTCGAATCTCAGGTTTAACATGAATTATAACGGTCTGTTTGCATTGACAAGATGTGCTATTCACGCGGCACACCTGATGGCGGGTGTTATAAAAGATATTCCATCATCGGTTTTCTTCATATTTTTAATGTATTTTTCATTGTTTGTTCAGAACTAAAAGGTCCAAGAAGTCCCACAATCGAATTGAATATTCATTTGACATGTTAACTATATCGTAAAGCGCTTCATGGGAGTAATTGTGGGATGATACATTTTCAAAGTATCACGATATGTATCGGTTGAGTATCGGTATCGTTCAGTGGTATCGGTATCATAAAAAAGTCAACGATATGCATCCCTAACCTTTACACTACGTCAAACTAAAAGCGATTTACAGACAAGCAAAGAAAACATGTTCGGGCTCTTTTCTAAATAAATGTGTGGTTATTTCTGTATTTCTCTCTCAAAGATTTCCTCAAAAGAAAAACCTGAATTTCAGCTTCAGTTCAAGCATGTATTGCCCCAATAAGTATTTTATACAATACAATACACTGTAATAGACCAATCTATTAATAACAAATACATAGGATGTGTGTGTGTGTGTGTGTGTGTGTGTGTGTGCGCGCATGTGTGTGTGTTAATATTCATAAAGACATCTCCTTTGGTCTGAATAGCAATGTTTCCATCTCCTCCTCACCTTCCCCTGGCTTGCAGTCCCAGCCCAGCTCCAGGCCGATGGGGGTGAAGAGGTCTCTGATGAACTCCTGGATGTCCTCGTGGAAGTCGGTGTGCGACAGCAGCGAGGACAGAACGCCCAGGTTGCAGCTGAGGTCGCTCCACACCGTGTAGTTCGGCTCGTTCACAAACGCCTCCATCAGCGTCAGAACCTGCACCGTGCTGATCATCCCCGCACGAGACTGAAGACAAAACAACCAGGTTAATAATAATGAATATGCATATTTCTGTAGGCGGTTGACAACAGATACATTTGATATAAGAATGTTCCACTTATTAATGAATCAGATTTTTAGGGGATTTTCAATTGATCATAAACCTCTTGTGATTCTGACACATCATCTGTGTAACTGTTAGTGAGGTCAGGCTGAGGTCAGCGTCACAAAATGCTTCCTGTAGTGATGAAACTAAACAGTCAGAGACATTTTTAAAATAGAGTGCTTCCTCAAGTGTGTGTGCCTCATCAGGGAGAGGAAGTGTAGGTGTGTGTCTGTGAGTGTCTGTGAGTGTGTGCCTGTGTGAGTGTGTGTGTGTGTGTCTGTGTGCATGTGAGTGAGTGTCTGTGTCTCATCAGGGAGAGGAAGTGTGTGTGTGTGAGTGTGTGAGTGTGTCTCACCAGGGAGAAGAGGTCGTTCTGTGTGTTTGTGTGTGCGTGGTGTGTGTTTGTGCGTGGTGCGTGCGCGCATTGTGTGTGTTTGTGCGTGGTGTGTGTGCGCATTGTGTGTGTGCATGTGTGTGGTGTGTGTGCGCATTGTGTGTGTGTGTCTCTCTCTCACCAGGGAGAAGAGGTTGTTATGTGTGTGTGTGCGTGTTGTGTGTGCGCATGTGTGTGTGAGTATTGTGTGTGTGTGTGTTCCTCTCTCACCAGGGAGAAGAGGTCGTTCTGTGTGTTTGTGCGTGGTGTGTGCGTGCGTTGTGTGTGTGTGTGTGTCTCTCTCACCAGGGAGAAGAGTTTGTTATGTGTGTGTGTGTGTTGTGTGTGCGTGTTTGTGTGTGCGCATGTGTGTGTGTGTTCCTCTCTCACCAGGGAGAAGAGGTCGTTCTGCAGGCCCAGGCGGTCCACCGGCTGCAGGCTGAGGTCTCTGACTCCGGGCAGCAGCCTCTCCAGCATGGACGCGCTGTACTGGATCCGGTAGAAGCCCACGGTGCCGGGGTTTATCTGAGAGCAGGACACAACGGGTCAGACTGAGGGGAAGAAGGGTTTATTTATTTAAACTATATTTATTTGACTTCTTAGCCCGAGTGCTCGTGTCCGGCAAGGCTTAAAGGAAGTGAAACATCTTCATCGCTTCATCAACGGATAACACTGGAGGTTTTGGTTAACTGTGGCAAATGTTCACCACTCGTGATAATTGGTTTAATTTGTTTTAACTTATTCTTTATTAGTTATTTTCTCACATTCCCCTTTACATCCAATTGTACTCCAATTTAGAGGAACAGTTTATTTAACAAGGGGTCACAACATGTTTAACCCTTAGAGTGACTAGACCCTACACTCTTCCATAAGTGGGTCAAAAAGGACCCGTATTAGAATAATATGTGTTTTTATGCCATTTTTCATTTTGGTTAAGAAAAAGCACTTGTATAATATTTAGTATTATATTTTGGTTCACACTAGAAATATTTTATATTTAATTTTTACACATAGTTTTGAACATATCGATGCAAAGATCTCCGCTATTCTGAGACCCTCACAGTATTCCAGTCCCTTTTCAAAACTCTTCTCTTGTCTACTCATAGCCCCCCCCCCCCCCCCCCCAAATCATTCCATGCCAGTTGATCAAGTTTGATAGTCCTATACCCCCCAACCTAACCCACCCTAACCTTCCCTTATATTGTAAAGCGATGTCGAGTCCTTGAAAAGCCCTATACAAATATAATGTATTATTATTATTATACTGCCAGGTATCAGATCTTGCTGTGTAAAGTAATCTTCCTGAGAGGTGTCACTTGTGATGTCGTCTGTGTGTCACAGTGAATGTATTCCTGACAGCAACAGGTGATAATAATCAAAGGTTCCCAGAGGATCCCATAGAAATGCATGCGGGTCATTGTTGACCCACTTATGGAAGCTCGGGGTAGAAATACAAAAACTACAATTTCTTAAAATGTAAATTTAAAATGGCATGATATCCAAAACATGTTTTTTGAGGAATAGCTGGAATATGAAATGATAAAAAAAAAAATGTAATTACAAAGGTACTTCAAGAAAACCACCTCACCGGGTCCAAAAAGACCCACTTATGTGTCTAAGGGTGAAGGTCTCAAATCCTAAAAATATGAAAAACAAAATGTATAGAAAAATAATTGTGACTTTTAACCTTTGGTAACAGCCACAGGATTGGAGCAGTGAGTATTCAAGGCATTATTTATACATCAGCTGTAGAAATGCAGTCCATTTGTAAACCTCAACCCATTTCCAACCCTCTCTTTACACTGTCTTTATTAGTAAACAGAGTTAATCAACAACTGCTTTGGTGCGAAGCCAGACATCGAACAGTGTGCCACATTTTACAAGTAGGTATTACACTTTCCTCAGCAGCTGTTCCCGAGGGGAATATAATGAGACAGAGAGAGCCTGTGAATGTAATGCACTCCGAGCAGGCCGCCAACAAACACTTAAGAAGACCAAGCGGAGAGAAGGTTAAGACGTTCCCCTTGCTGCGTGTTGGGGCAGTTTTTCTTTGAGACTCACTAAACTGAACTACTATTATTTATAGCAGCATAATATTATCTTAATCCAGTTGTCATATCGATTATCACTAATACGATACATGCTGCACAGGACGGGGATGTGAGCTGCTGTAGTTTGTCAAGATGTGTCATGATACATAAAGCCAGTTTCAATCTATATCAAACTGGTTTAAGCTTGTACACTGGACTCAAATGACACCAGCGTTTCCGCCAGAGGGGCGTCTTGACGTCATTTGACGCCCTTATTCAGCTCGGAACGCCCTGAACTCGAGCCGAGGGCGTCCGAAAACAATAATAATTCGAGAGAAGATTGAGTTTTTATCGCTTGAAATGACGAAAAGGAAAAAGGACATCCCTCTGTTGGAGGGGCAAAGGAGTCTGGTGGGATTCTTTTCTCCGCCAGCAACGCGTGTTCCTGTGACGGAAAGTGTACTGCCGGCGAGCCTTGGCGGGGCGGGGGTGCTAGTGGAGCACGCGCGTGAACTGCGAGCGCCGGAGCCTCGCAGCGGCGAAACTGAGGCTACGTAAAGAGATAGTATCTATAAGTCACAGCTCAATTCAAAGTTCAAGTCACGTGACGTCACACCCTCCCCCGCTCTCGGGGGGGACGCCCTCTCAGCCCTGGTCTGGCGGAAACACTGATTGGAGCAGTGAGTATTCAAGGCATTATTTATACATCAGCTGTAGAAATGCAGTCCATTTGTAAACCTCAACCCATTTCCAACCCTCTCTTTACACTGTCTTTATTAGTAAACAGAGTTCATCAACAACTGCTTTGGTGCGAAGCCAGACATCGAACAGTGTGCCACATTTTACAAGTAGGTATTAAACTTTCCTCAGCAGCTGTTCCCGAGGGGAATATAATGAGACAGAGAGAGCCTGTGAATGTAATGCACTCCGAGCAGGCCGCCAACAAACACTTAAGAAGACCAAGCGGAGAGAAGGTTAAGACGTTCCCCTTGCTGCGTGTTGGGGCAGTTTTTCTTTGAGACTCACTAAACTGAACTACTATTATTTATAGCAGCATAATATTATCTTAATCCAGTTGTCATATCGATTATCACTAATACGATACATGCTGCACAGGACGGGGATGTGAGCTGCTGTAGTTTGTCAAGATGTGTCATGATACATAAAGCCAGTTTCAATCTACATCAAACTGGTTTAAACTTGTACACTGGACTCAAATGACACCAGCGTTTCCGCCAGAGGGGCGTCTTGACGTCATTTGACGCCCTTATTCAGCTCGGAACGCCCTGAACTCGAGCCGAGGGCGTCCGAAAACAATAATAATTCGAGAGAAGATCGAGTTTTTATCGCTTGAAATGACGAAAAGGAAAAAGGACATCCCTCTGTTGGAGGGGCAAAGGAGTCTGGTGGGATTCTTTTCGCCGCCGGCAAAGCGTGTTCCTGTGACGGAAAGTGTACTGCCGGCGAGCCTTGGCGGGGCGGGGGTGCTAGTGGAGCATGCGCGTGAACTGCGAGCGCCGGAGCCTCGCCGCGGCGAAACTGAGACTACGTAAAGAGATAGTATCTATAAGTCACAGCTCAATTCAAAGTTCAAGTCACGTGACGTCACACCCTCCCCCGCTCTCGGGGGGGACGCCCTCTCAGCCCTGGTCTGGCGGAAACACTGATTGGAGCAGTGAGTATTCAAGGCATTATTTATACATCAGCTGTAGAAATGCAGTCCATTTGTAAACCTCAACCCATTTCCAACCCTCTCTTTACACTGTCTTTATTAGTAAACAGAGTTCATCAACAACTGCTTTGGTGCGAAGCCAGACATCGAACAGTGTGCCACATTTTACAAGTAGGTATTAAACTTTCCTCAGCAGCTGTTCCCGAGGGGAATATAATGAGACAGAGAGAGCCTGTGAATGTAATGCACTCCGAGCAGGCCGCCAACAAACACTTAAGAAGACCAAGCGGAGAGAAGGTTAAGACGTTCCCCTTGCTGCGTGTTGGGGCAGTTTTTCTTTGAGACTCACTAAACTGAACTACTATTATTTATAGCAGCATAATATTATCTTAATCCAGTTGTCATATCGATTATCACTAATACGATACATGCTGCACAGGACGGGGATGTGAGCTGCTGTAGTTTGTCAAGATGTGTCATGATACATAAAGCCAGTTTCAATCTACATCAAACTGGTTTAAACTTGTACACTGGACTCAAATGACACCAGCGTTTCCGCCAGAGGGGCGTCTTGACGTCATTTGACGCCCTTATTCAGCTCGGAACGCCCTGAACTCGAGCCGAGGGCGTCCGAAAACAATAATAATTCGAGAGAAGATCGAGTTTTTATCGCTTGAAATGACGAAAAGGAAAAAGGACATCCCTCTGTTGGAGGGGCAAAGGAGTCTGGTGGGATTCTTTTCGCCGCCGGCAAAGCGTGTTCCTGTGACGGAAAGTGTACTGCCGGCGAGCCTTGGCGGGGCGGGGGTGCTAGTGGAGCATGCGCGTGAACTGCGAGCGCCGGAGCCTCGCCGCGGCGAAACTGAGACTACGTAAAGAGATAGTATCTATAAGTCACAGCTCAATTCAAAGTTCAAGTCACGTGACGTCACACCCTCCCCCGCTCTCGGGGGGGACGCCCTCTCAGCCCTGGTCTGGCGGAAACACTGATTGGAGCAGTGAGTATTCAAGGCATTATTTATACATCAGCTGTAGAAATGCAGTCCATTTGTAAACCTCAACCCATTTCCAACCCTCTCTTTACACTGTCTTTATTAGTAAACAGAGTTCATCAACAACTGCTTTGGTGCGAAGCCAGACATCGAACAGTGTGCCACATTTTACAAGTAGGTATTAAACTTTCCTCAGCAGCTGTTCCCGAGGGGAATATAATGAGACAGAGAGAGCCTGTGAATGTAATGCACTCCGAGCAGGCCGCCAACAAACACTTAAGAAGACCAAGCGGAGAGAAGGTTAAGACGTTCCCCTTGCTGCGTGTTGGAGCAGTTTTTCTTTGAGACTCACTAAACTGAACTACTATTATTTATAGCAGCATAATATTATCTTAATCCAGTTGTCATATCGATTATCACTAATACGATACATGCTGCACAGGACGGGGATGTGAGCTGCTGTAGTTTGTCAAGATGTGTCATGATACATAAAGCCAGTTTCAATCTACATCAAACTGGTTTAAACTTGTACACTGGACTCAAATGACACCAGCGTTTCCGCCAGAGGGGCGTCTTGACGTCATTTGAAGATCGAGTTTTTATCGCTTGAAATGACGAAAAGGAAAAAGGACGTCCCTCTGGACTCAAATGACAACTATTACGAGAACAGCGGAGGCAATTTGCAAGTTAAACCCAAAGGAGATGGAACACGACCATTCATGTTGTTGCCTCATTTACACTCCTGAATGACCAGAATCAAGGATTATATAAAATAACCGACTATACTGCCTCTTAGTAGTATGTCCCGATATCTAGAATGTAAAGTGCCTTTTGCCAAAATGACTGATGTACTTCTGCATTATGGAAGCCAGCATGCTATTCTAGCCGCTTGACCAACATATCTTTGCGCAGGGGAAGCATGAGCAAGAGGGTAATAAGGCCAAATAACGCAGCCAGTATTAGTAGACGGGGTGAGGAAGAGGACAGCAGTCTGAGAGAGTCTGATGACACTTTACAAACGGGAAGTCCAGCCTGAGATGAAAACAGACCGACTCCCTTATGACTCATTCATTCAGCTCAAGACACTGGAAACTGTTCCCCGTTGGTCAAAGTTTAACTTTATTTGAATGAAGTGAAATGTTTAGCCAGCTTAAAGGTTTACTTGACCTTTGATGCAAATATGTCTGCAGCCTCAGGCAAAAGCTACAAGCTAAGTGATCTCATGAATATTAAGGAGAAAAGCAACTGAAAAGTATTTAAAACAATTCCTTCTAACTTTCATTTTCACTAATTAGTTAGAGATCTATCAAACTGATAAACTTAAAATTAGTACAAACAATGGCTTTATGCTGAGTATTGGATCAGTACTTGGTTGGCTCTCTACCTGTGTTTTAATGTTTGTTAAGCACCCCCCCCCAAAGCAGTAAACCTAGGGGAAACACTGACTTTTATGTTTGCACCACAACACCAAGTCAAATTCCTCGTACGTGTCAACCTACCTGGTGATGAACCTGATTCTGATTGAATGTAGGTATCAGGAGAGAACATTTGAATCAGTGAGTGAGTCCATGATTGCAGGAGAGTACTGCTGGAAACCTAAACACCCGATGGAGGAACTGTGACCCGCCCTCACCTTGATCCACTGCTCGGTGGGGACGCCGCTCAGAGTGATGGTCGTCTCGGCTCTGTCCAGCAGAACCTTCAGCTTGGAGCATGTTGGGTCCTCGCTGGTACAAATACTGATGGGGACCATCCAGCTGGGGCAATCCTCACCTGCCAACACCAGGCAGAGATACAACAGCATAGCAGTCAGAAACATTAAACGTTATTGGTCATCAGATGGGGAGTTCAGGTGCAGCGGCACAACAACTCAAATATCTACAGATAGATGGAGAAAGAAAAGAGGAAATAAGAGGAGAGGTAGAAATAGAAGATATACAAGAGCAAGTAAAGACAAAAATACAAGGGACAAATATACAGAGTTGCGGAGAGGGATAGTGTATTAGAAGAAATGGATCTCTGTTTATAGTGTCATTTAATACAAGATTATTACATGGCTTAGTTGAATACTCGATTCTGATTGGTCAATTCAGAACACGTGACACGTTGTTAATCCAGAACAGACAGATTTATTGACCGTTGTTAAGGACGCTCACATCTGCAGAAAGAAGTCCGGTCGATTTAACTGTATACAGTTTGGCTGAAAAGCAAACTGCATCCAGTTTGCTTTTCACACTGGAACAAGAAAACAGCGGAGAAGTAACGGGCAGAAACCCTCCTTTTTACGCAGCGGTCCAGACATAGACATCCAACGGCGACACATATTCAGTGTGCAGTCACTTTGGCATTAGGGCAGGGATATCTAGATACTTCCCAAGGTTTGACATAATGAATTGTGCTACTTTTAAAGCAAGCAGCGATGTTTTCAAATCTGAAATCAAAAAGGTCCACAAAAAAGCTATCGAAGCAGTTCCTGCCGTTGCTAAGGAGGATCAAGAAAGAGAAAGTAAAAGAGGGTAAAAGACGGAGTGCTGGACGTCAGATAAATCCCCAGACGAAGGCAGAGAGGACGTAAACACTAACAGGGACACGGTGTGAACTCTGCAGAGTTTAGGGACTTGTTAGTGGATCAGAAACTGAACAGAGTTGGCCAGTGCTGCCGTAAAGTTGTTGTTGTCGCAGTTCCAGCCGTCGGTGCGCCGTGGAACGGAGTTTTTTTTCTCTTAGCGGAAGAAATACGATCATTTTAAGTCAATAAAATCATTTCAATTAATATTGGGAGTCGAGTCGTTAGTTTGTTTAGTGTCTGACCGTGTGATAAGCGGGATAGTGTGCAGCGACTTGGTCACTATGGGGAAAAGAACACCCTTCAGGCTCATCAAGATCACTCCGCTTGGCTCCTGGTCTGCCTGTCGGGTGCTCTTTTCCCCATAGTGCCCGCCTCGCTGCACGTCATCCCTTACGTAGAACACTGACATAATAGCACCAGTCATAAAGAGGATAGGGTGAATTGTTGTCTAAACATGTATACCTATATCTAAACAGTAGCCAAAGCATTTCAAATTTAACACGAGTTAAATTTAACACAGTATCAAATAAATAATGATAGTTCTATATGTAATTGAATATAGAGTTCAACCCCGTGTCCGGTGTTTTAGGCAAATCATTTGAGTCTAAGAAACACTTGGTGGCGTCTGTGTACTCACCGCTGTGTGGTCCACTGGCACAGAACTTCTTCTGAGATAACTTCACAATGCGGTCGTCTCCTTGCTGCAAACAAACGTCTCGGTTAGTTTGAGTAAAAAGAATAATCAAGAAATGCAAAAAAAATTAGAACAAGCCACCAGACAAATACTTAACCACCCCTCTCTGATCAGCATTTCATGTGCTGCCCTGGCCCTGCCTGATGCTAACCTTTTTATGAATGTGTTGGCGCCGCTTTGCTGTATATTTATGATCTTTTTAATTTACACATGCCATCTATTAAGCATCTGTCCGTCCTGTGAGAAGGATCCCTCCTATGTTCCTCTCCTTGAGGATTTAAAGCATTTTGCCCACACTAGTTGTTGTTGTTTTTTGGGAGTTTTTCCTTCTTACTGCAAGGGTCAAAGGGCAGATGGCTACACACTGTAAAGCCCCTGAGACATACAGTATGTGTGATATCTGGCTTGCAGGAACCAACATTTCTTATATCAAATATGGTGAATTGTTTCTTTTTTGCCCATTTATATATTCAGTTGATTCCCTTTATTGTGCTCCAGGTTAAGGTAATGGATTTATTATTATATTTGTTTACAAGAGGCCGATATGGAGCCCTTTGTTTGGACTGCAATCAAAGGCTCGTCTAACTCCATGCATCATACCTGGAGTCTCAAGGCAAGTTGGGTGATTGATTACTTCAACAGGGCTATATAAATACAATTGTATTGGTTGATTGCTAGTACATTCTTTTGGTTTAGATTAGATTCAACTTTATTGTCATTGAGCAAAGTACAGGTACAAGCCAATGAAATGCAGTTAGTATCCAACCAGAAATGCAAGATGTGCTATATATAAATAAAAACAAGGTGCATATTATAATGACTGTTTGGTAACTAGGAAAGAGGTCTTGTAGATAGATTACACACAGACAAACAATCCAGCACCAGTCACTTTTACACTGCTATGGACAATTTTGCACTCCCATTTGCACTCTACATCAGGGCTATTCAATTAGTTTGGAATGGGGCCGGTTGATGAAAATGATCCAAAGCAAGGGGCCGGGAAAAAGATGGCTTGAAATATGAGCAATCATAATTAAGAGCTTCAGATACAGTAAATACTACAAGAGCATAGTGGAGTGCATATATTGTGTTTACTTAAATCAAACATAGCCCCAAGGCCTTTCTAGATCTAATGCCCCTTTCACACCAACGCGTTTTCAGGTCCGGCTCGGAGCTAGAGCCTGAAAAGTACCGGTTTTTCCTCTTCACACCGCAGCGGCGCCGCCTCTTAGCTCCGGAATCCGGTTCGTTTCCAGCTCCAAACATTTTTCGGTCTAGCAAGCAAGATTCCGTAGCTACGAGGCGGCGCCGCTTACGTCTCTCTTACATCGAGGCGGGGGCAGGGGCGGGATCAACCGCCTGAAGACCGCAAAGAAGTCTTGCATTTCGCATGTGATGTTTGTAAAGTTCCAAGTAAAGTCGTCCCTTGTAAAGTCGTCCCATGTAAAGTCGTCCCTTGTAAAGTCGTCCCATGTAAAGTCGTCCCATGTAAAGTCGTCCCTTGTAAAGTCGTCCCTTGTAAAGTCGTCCCATGTAAAGTCGTCCCATGTAAAGTCGTCCCATGTAAAGTCGTCCCATGTAAAGTCGTCCCTTGTAAAGTCGTCCCATGTAAAGTCGTCCCTTGTAAAGTCGTCCCTTGTAAAGTCGTCCCTTGTAAAGTCGTCCCTTGTAAAGTCGTCCCTTGTAAAGTCGTCCCTTGTAAAGTCGTCCCTTGTAAGTCGTCCCATGTAAAGTCGTCCCTGTAAAGTCGTCCCATGTAAAGTCGTCCCATGTAAAGTCGTCCCATGTAAAGTCGTCCCATGTAAAGTCGTCCCATGTAAAGTCGTCCCATGTAAAGTCGTCCCTTGTAAAGTCGTCCCATGTAAAGTCGTCCCTTGTAAAGTCGTCCCTTGTAAAGTCGTCCCTTGTAAAGTCGTCCCATGTAAAGTCGTCCCTTGTAAAGTCGTCCCATGTAAAGTCGTCCCTTGTAAAGTCGTCCCTTGTAAAGTCGTCCCATGTAAAGTTCCCAGTCCCCTTGTAAAGTCGTCCCATGTAAAGTCGTCCCTTGTAAAGTCGTCCCTTGTAAAGTCGTCCCTTGTAAAGTCGTCCATGTAAAGTCGTCCCATTGTAAAGTCGTCCCTTGTAAAGTCGTCCCCTGTAAAGTCGTCCCATGTAAAGTCGTCCCTTGTAAAGTCGTCCCATGTAAAGTCGTCCCATTGTAAAGTCGTCCCTTGAAAGTCGTCCATGTAAAGTCGTCCCATGTAAAGTCGTCCCATGTAAGTCGTCCCTTGTAAAGTCGTCCCTTGTAAAGTCGTCCCATTGTAAAGTCGTCCCATGTAAAGTCGTCCCTTGTAAGTCGTCCCTTGTAAAGTCGTCCCCGTAAGTGTCCATGTAAAGTCGTCCCTTGTAAAGTCGTCCCTTGTAAAGTGTCCCGTCCCTTGTAAAGTCGTCCCTGTAAAGTCGTCCCCTTGTAAAGTCGTCCTTGTAAAGTCGTCCCATGTAAAGTCGTCCATTGTAAGTCGTCCCTGTAAAGTCGTCCCCTTGTAAGTCGTCCCTTGTAAAGTCCGTCCCATGTAAAGTCGTCCCATGTAAAGTCGTCCCTTGTAAAGTCGTCCCTTGTAAAGTCGTCCATGTAAAGTCGTCCCTTGTAAAGTCGTCCCTTGTAAAGTCGTCCCTTGTAAAGTCGTCCCTTGCGTTCCATTTCGTTTTGTAAGAGGATAACCAAAGAGAACAGCGCTTCAATACAATCGGCCGTTGTTGTTGTTGTCGATGTGAGGGATTTCCGCGCGGTTTGGCTTTTATGAAGCAGGCACGTAAACGGTTACGTCATGATGCAAACGATGAGGCAATGACGCAGCACCACCCCAGCTCTGTGTGGTGTGAACCATAGGTGTGAACAGAGCGGGAGCAGAAAAGGGAAACCCGAGCTGAACCAGAAAAGCTCTAGCACGGAGCTAGAAAGGGAAAAGCGCTGGTGTGAAAGCCGCATAAATGGCAAGTTCAGAACTCAGTAGGCCAACATGTGAAGCTGATTTAACCATCAACATCATTTCATTAATTTAGGTGAAATGATCTAATCATTCACTACAGCAGCTAGTAGGTGGGTTCGAAACCCGAGCCCGTCGAAGTTTTCAGGCAATGTCTTCCCCTCTATCTCTCAATTTAACACCCTCTCTGGAATAAAGGCACTCCGGCCCAAAAAAAAAAAGCAGATTACTTTTTAACATTATACTCAAAGGGCCAGTAAATATCACCCGTCATCATCATCTTTATTATATATATCCCGCTTACTTGAAGTAAATGGTTATTTTGTAAATTATTGAGTGTTCTTGCATTTTAAATGTGAGTTTTTTTATACCTCGGGACTGTGGGAAACATTTCACATTTCGATCTTTCTGTGTGTACAAACATATTTTTTAGATTGAGAATAAAGTTGACTTTGACTTATTGCCTCAAACCAGCAGTTCAGCCAGAGAACAAAATGATGAATATTGAGAGCGTTTGCCCCAAGCCCCCATCTTTACCCATGGATGCACAATAAGAACGGATTATATGATTACTTTCGTGACGTTTCGCTCTCAAAAGTTGGGCCATTTTGTCTTCATGCGCCAATGAGCAGCTCTCATAGGAATGAACGCGGCCCCGCCTCCCACGCTCTATCCACTTCTTATTATACATCCATGGTTTGCCCTCATGCAGGTGAAACAGCTCCTGTCCAGTGACGCTCACCTGCTCCTCTTCCACTTCTATAATGGGGAAGCCCATCTGCTTGGTCCACGAGCTCATGACTTCAGCGATGGGTTTTCCACTGGCCTGTTCCAGACAGTCCCATAGGTCCTCTGTGGACAAACACGAGTCAAAGGGATTAGGACACTTAGAAATCGATTCACGCGGTAGTTTCAATTTGAGTGAATTCCTTACTTACCTGTGCAAGCATTTTTATGTTGGAACTTCAACAGGTAGGCGTTCATTCCTTTCCTAAAGTCCTGGAAAAGAGAGAGTAAGAGGTGAACCTTGATGAAGAGAATACCAGAGAGAATATCAAAGTGCTGGAGAACAAACCTCGTCTCCTGTGTAGTCGTGCAGCATGCGGATCACAGACGCTCCTTTGCTGTAGGAGATGGCGTCGAAGATTTCATCCACCTCTGACGGGTGGCCCACGTTCACCTGGAGCACAAAACATCAAATAAACAGAAATCAGTTCAACAAACACAACTATTTATAAGATATTTTAATGTAATAATGTCTATATCACAGTCTTTGTCTCTTTCTGCTTTTACAATTGTAGGTCTGAACCATTATACAGTGTTTTATTTGCCATATAAAAAAACATCTTAAATATGAAAAACCATTCAGTGTGTTTACTCTGGACCCGATCGAGTTTGTGTAGTAGGAGATTGCAAACCTTTTTACAGTTGTGTACCGTATTATATACCTTGTTATTCAACCTCAATAAATAATACAACTTCCAAAATAATCCATGTGTGTTCTATTTTGCAAACATTATTACATACAAAAAAAGTTAAAATTAGATGTATTGAGATGAAGGTATCATAAATCATTATCACTATTTCCAACGAGTAGGAGACAGACTATGAAGCGACTAATACCAAAGGCTACATTAGTCTTTAACTGACACACTCAGAAGGACACACTCGTGCTGAAGTCGTTTCAAGATGTTCAATAAATAAAATAATAAAAGCAATCTCTACAGCAGCACCTGACAATCCTCACAAACTAAGTCATAGAAAAGGCCATATATCTGAACAGGCTAACACACCCAGGTGACGCTGGCCGGAAGTGATACAAAACAAATATAAATGGACTATTCTTTTATTTGTATTCTATTATATAGGTTGCATTGTTGGAGGAGCTCAGGTCAGAAGAATTTCATTGCCATTTCTACACTGTAGCTTATGATAATAAAACCTTTGAATCTTGAAATAATGATAGAAACAAAATAGCAGACCCAGGCTTAGCAACTGAGCACTTTGAAACAGCAGCAGCTTTTGTTTAATAAGGTGAATCTGAAGGTCACCTCGATGGGATGGCTGCTGTCCAGAGCGTCCAGGTCCAGGGCGCGGGTGTAGTCTGCGGAGACAAACTGGGTCCAGATGTCGTACTCTGGGAAGCAGTGGTCCACGCACAGATACTCGATCCAAGACGCAAAGCCCTCGTTGAGCCACAGATGGGTCCACCATTCCTGATGAAACACACAAGAAGGCAGGGTGTCTTCAAAGACCTTCACAATAGTTCCCTTCCTAAAATATGATCTCATACATTACCAAGGTTTTTAACGTGTATTACATTGTCCCTATTTCACAAATATTACACGGCACAGTTTAGGCATGGGTATTTGATTGAATATATCGGGTATCGCCGATTGGCTGAGTACACCAGTTGTTGTTTTTGTGCGTTTCTGTCATTTTATTTGGCAAGTTATTGGTTTGCATTTTACTGTACGGTGAGGAAAACCGTTATAAGTAGGGATGCTCCGATCGCCAGTTTTGGGGCCGATTGCCGGAATCAGCATCGGCCGATACCGATCGCCGATCCGATCGAGTGGGCGGGGCCTATGGGGATCTTCCATTTAAAGTGATGTGTAAAACTCAGTTAAAGCTCATTCACTGGAGCTTCCACAAACAACAACCAACATAATTATTACATTCAAATGAAGTTCATTATTCAAGTTTACATTAACTTTGGAGAATAACACGGGAGAAATGAGCGGAAGCCTCTCTCTCTCTCTCTCCTGACAGCCTGTCAGTATCGTCTCATGCAGCTCACTGATCCAGTAATGAGTGACCCGACAGTGAAGAATAAATATATTTATAATAACTAGTTTAGTTCCAGAGGTAGATCAAATAGCTAAGTAGGTCTAACTCTTGTGTGTTTCGCTCCGCTCACCGGTCCGTCTCAGCGGGCGGAGCTGCAGGATTTCTGCTTCACGTTGCATTCCGCTATTTTACTGTCTTTTTCGGACACCTTCAAATACTGCCAGACCGGTGAAGCCATTTAGGCGAGCTTGTTTTGCCGCACAGAGAAAAGTGTCATGTATTTTACGTCATGTGATCGGCTCTCCTGAGCAGCATTTATAGAGAGCACCGATCGATCGGCAGAGAGTGAGTATCACTAGGCGGCCGATCGGAGCATCCCTAGTTATAAGAATATTCCCCTTTCTGATAATTTGTGAGTTTATTTATTAGACTAACAGGACAGAGAGAGCTTGCTTAATGAAGCTAACTACCCTTTTGAACAGCTTTACACAAAATGTTAACGTTACAAACACAACTTATAATAGTATATATTGACTTTTCAAAATAGGTCTTCTTCAGTTTTTATATTTAAAAAATATAAGACTGTACTATGACATAATGTCCCTGGTTTCTCTACTTAAAAGAACATTATAATCTTATATTTTTCAGCTAGTGCTTTTTTTATTTTACGTTTTGTTTTCATGCCAGTTCAATAATATACTTTTATGTCCAAAGCCTCTAAAAAGATGTACATGTGTAAGTGAGTCTTACCATGGTGACCAAGTTTCCGAACCACTGGTGAGCGAGCTCGTGACCGACCACCAGCGCCACCCACTGCCTGGAGGACGAGCAGGAGTTCTTGGGGTCGATCAGCAGAGCCGTCTCCCTGGAAGAAATAAAACAAACAAGAGAGTGGAGGTTAACATGGAGACCGGCTGAAGGTCGACGCCTCCTCTAGACGTCAAACACCCAGAGTGCACTTCAGCTGCTCCCATGGTTATTAAGAGAGGCAGGAGGCAGTAGATGCTAATCACTTTCCATCTGAACACCTAACAGGTGGTGCAGCTAACCAGGAAGCAATTAAAAACCCATCAGAGCTGTCACCCAATAAGACACACGTGCACAAATAACTTATTTCCCCTGCAAGATAGAACACAAACTGCTGCTTTCTCAATGAGACACGGAGCTGCACAACTACAGATTAGAGTTGCATTAAAAGCAAAAGTTCCTTGTTGTTTATTTGGATAATTTCCCCAGGATTCATGATAATCACGTAGGTCTATAGAGTGGTGCAGTGACGCGTCCTAACACCCGGAAGTAAGATGCGCATGCGTTCCTTCCGGTTCCTTCCACAAAAACGAACGCAATTTCTCCATAGGATTTTGGAAAATAGCTGGAAATAAGGTCTTTGGTTGAAACACATTTAAGAGACGGATCACGTTTTGTTCAGTTGGATAATCTCCACATGTCTACCCTACTGTTATAATTTTCGAATCGTAAATCTAAATCGATAGATTTATGATCCATAGATTTATGAAATTGCATTGCTTTTTCGTCGAGGGAACCGGAAGGAACCCATGCGCCAGAGTTCCCGGTCAACATGTCCGTTAAAGTTTAAATCTTCCGGACAAAATGAGAAAAGTGCCGGTCAAAGGTCTTCTTTGTTATTTATTGAGCTATAAAACAAATTGATATGATTGGATATTAAACAAACTAATTATAGTAGATTAACTACATTATTCAAAAGTGTAGAGTAACTTATAATAACACGGGAATAATAAACGGAGCGCTCCCCATCTCCTGACAGCCCGTCAGTATCATGCAGCTCGCGGATCCAGAGTGACCCGAGAGTAAAACTAAACACATCTATAACTAGTTTAGGTAGTTTGAGAGGTAATTAAAATAGCTACGTGTGATATTCTAACCTTATCTTGACTGACTACTGGAGCAAATATTAAAGACTGTATTGACTCCCTTTATCTACATATAACATGACTGTTGTCATACTGTAGTGCCAATAGGCTAGTATTACATGAGAACTCATTATGAAACTAATATTTGAATTACTGTTACTCAATATTACGTTAAACAGAATCAACTTGATAGTTATTTTTCAATTCAACAACATTTTTGACAATGGCTTAATAAGCTAGGGCTGGGCACTTGCAGTCCGTTTAATAAATCCATAGAAACACGTTACAAGGGAAGCTTTAGTTGCCATGTCTTGAAGAGGAATGGAAGTGTACCTGTAGGTCACAAGGCCCCAGTTCTCCATGGCACCTGAGAGGGAGGAAGACGTACGCATTTTAGTTTCAACTTTTTTTGTGTGGAAATGATGAAAAATGATTGAATATTCAATTGACACTCACCAGCAGCAAAATCAGCAATAGCTATTAGATCGATTTTAGGCAGTGGATAAGGAACATTGAAGTAGTCATTGTAGAAAGGTAAGGTCTTAGTAGCAACCTGCAAAAAACCCACAAAGCCATGTTAAGAATAAGATGTCACTTGGACACAAAGGGATAGGCGGATTCAACAATTCAGCATAGAATTAATCGTCAAATGCTGGCATACATTTCAGTTAACTGTCTATTTCTCTACACCTCTAATCATATTTGTATAATTCTTAGAGCAAAGGTGAAACCAACAAGCTCAGCTGTCTTTCTAAAAAAAGGGATGGACCAAGTTCTCACCTCCAGCGCAAACTTCCCTTGTTCTGACTTCCCGACAGGCGTGTAGACGCGTACCGTGATGCCGTCCGATGACTGGGCCTCCACAAAATCATATTCACCGATGACAAAAGCTACAAGGTACGTAGACATGATGGGCGTGGTGGCAAACTTCACCTCCACCAGGTTCTCATCCTCTAGATATGGATTTCGCTCAGTGACATTCTGCAAAAGGGAGAGAATAGATTCAAAGGTCTTAATGTCACAAGCTAACGTGTGGAAATGGCAATGAAAATCTTATGACGCGAGCTCCTCAAACGATGCGACAAATAATAAAAAAAACTAAATACAAATAGCATGGAAAAAGACATTTCTAATAAATATATTAGTGAGGCTTTGTGTTTAATAGGAGCTTTTGTAGCAGATCATGAGTAAAAGCTTCTGAATATTTCCTCTTTCTGGCAAAGAGTGACGTTGTATAATGCAAAACGGATTACAATTCTAAAGCCCCATGAGCAAAAATACCATGAAAAAAACAAAACAAATATTTGAGTTCCTCTTTTTCAAAGACTGCCTGTAACCTCCTCCGTCTGCGGCTCTGAGCCCAGCGGCTCTCAACTTAAAGCAAATACAGTTCACAGGAGGAAGTGGTGCATCGATGGGACTACATTTAGCAGAGGATTCATCTGCATTTACTTGAGTGAGTATGTGTGCCAGCAGGAAGGTTTATGTGGGACTTACAGTGTGTGTGTGTGTGTGTGTGTGTGTGTGTGTGAGAGTGAGTGAGTGAGTGTGAGATAGAATGAATGAGAGAGAGAGTGAGAGAGTGAAGGAGTGAGAGAGTGAGTGAGAGAGTGAGTGAGAGAGGGAGTGAGAGTGAATGAGAGAGAGAGAGTGAGAGAGAGGGAGAGTGAGAGAGTGAAGGAGTGAGAGAGTGAGATAAAGTGAATGAGAGTGAGTGAGAGTGTGAGATAGAGAATGAGAGAGATAGTGAATGAGAGAGAGTGAGTGAGTGAGTGAGAGATAGAGTGAGTGAATGAGAGAGAGGGAGAGTGAGAGAGTGAGAGAGTGAGATAAAGTGAATGAGAGTGAGTGAGAGTGTGAGATAGAGAATGAGAGAGATAGTGAATGAGAGAGAGTGAGTGAGTGAGTGAGTGAGTGATAGAGTGAGTGAATGAGAGAGATAGAGAGTGAGAGAGAGTGAGTGACAGTGGGCCCTTTCTCACTTCTCTTATTTTTCATTTCCTGGGTCTCACCGGAAGTTGATTTGTCTGCGCCATCTTGAGTAGCGTCCCAATGGCCTTATTTCTGCCAGAGGATCGAGGAGCGAGGAGCAATCATGGAGGAGCTATAACCGAGGAACTACCAGACCATCCTCCGATGAAATCCTCAGACACTCGCCCCGCCCCCTTACTGTGTATCGCTCACTGATTGGACGATGCAGCGCATGCACTGATCTGATGCTTCTTGACATGAGAGCAGTTTCCCAGCGGAGTGAAGAAAACACATGAACCTCACGGGAGTCACTCCTCAGTTTATACCGTGTTTTGTTTCAATTCATGTATCATTTAGTTACAAATATGTGATATATCTGAACAACAAAGTGGTCACAAATCATTTTATTCATTTGTTGGAAACATTTTCATGATCGCTTTTTTCGTTTTACATTTTCATTTATTGTCATTTCCATTCAGTCATTAAGTGCTATTGAAATGTTAATATGCTACATATCCACACAAACACACAAAGTGTGCAATCCAATGAATGTTAATCTAACTGGGTTTTGATAGATAACATATCTCTTTTTCTTCTCTCAATTATTTATTTCTATTGTGCACTCTAATCAATATTAATTCAACTAATGTTCGTTTATACATTTTAAGAATGGCGTTTATCTTTTTTGAGAATGAGTTCTTATTTGATTTTATTTATTGGGGTCTACAACAGATGATACAAATGTTAGTGTCAGTAAATGTGTGGCGGGGGTGTGTGTGGCAATAACGGGACAGCGCTGCTGTCAGACGATCAGCTGTGCGGCGTCATCACAAACGGACGTCGCTTCACGTGACGCTCCGGAGGAAAGGACGTCCCTGCTTCTCGTGGTTTCCTTGCGTCCCTCCATGCTTCCCTGGTGGGAGGGACTAGTCGCAGGGAAACGATGCAAGTGAGGGACGCAAGGATTTCATTTAATCGAAGTGAGAAGGACCCAGTGAGAGAGTGAGAGATAGAGTGAGCGAGAGAGTGAGTGAGAGATAGAGAGTGTGTGTGTGTGTTCAATGTAAAAAAGCAACATGCCACCTAGTGCAACTCCCTGGTGTGTTTTTCTTTTTCTTTGGACTATAGCAAAGAGGCGGAAAAGATACCAGACTCCGATGCAGACCGGATCACATCCTTTTGGTCATTATGAGATTTGCTGATATTTATATCCAGGGGTGCACATCACTTTTTTGCCCTGGTTCTCAAAGGAGCACCTGGAGATGTTGCTTGGTGCTCATCCTTAAAATGAAATAAACCGTAACTTTTGAGGGGGTCTTTATTTGCCAGACACACGGCACTGAACACACATGCAGAGGTGAACACAGAACACACACACACAGAGGTGAACACAGAACACACACACAGAGGTGAACACTGAACACACACGCAGAGGTGAACACTGAACACACATGCAGAGGTGAACACTGAACACACACGCAGAGGTGAACACTGAACACACACACAGAGGTGAACACAGAACACACACACAGAGGTGAACACAGAACACACACACAGAGGTGAACACTGAACACACATGCAGAGGTGAACACACATGCAGAGGTGAACACAGAACACACATGCAGAGGTGAACACAGAACACACACACAGAGGTGAACACAGAACACACACAGAGGTGAACACAGAACACACACGCAGAGGTGAACACAGAACACACACAGAGGTGAACACAGAACACACACACAGAGGTGAACACAGAACACACACACAGAGGTGAACACAGAACACACATGCAGAGGTGAACACAGAACACACACACAGAGGTGAACACAGAACACACACGCAGAGGTGAACACAGAACACACACACAGAGGTGAACACAGAACACACACACAGAGGTGAACACAGAACACACATGCAGAGGTAAACACAGAACACACACACAGAGGTGAACACTGAACACACATGCAGAGGTGAACACAGAACACACACACAGAGGTGAACACTGAACACACACAGAGGTGAACACAGAACACACACACAGAGGTGAACACTGAACACACACACAGAGGTGAACACAGAACACACACACAGAGGTGAACACAGAACACACATGCAGAGGTGAACACAGAACATGCAGAGGTGAACACAGAACACACATGCAGAGGTGAACACTGAACACACATGCAGAGGTGAACACAGAACACACATGCAGAGGTGAACACAAGACAACATTAGCACGACCAGTAATCCTACAAGCTGTCATCACTCCCCTCCTGACTGTTCTCCTCACTGTCTTCCTCTCTGTCAGACATGTAGCTGATGATGGAGGCCTACTACTTCCTCTCTGGTTGAGTCTGTGATTAGCTGCTGGTTTTGGGTCGAAAGTCTCTGTTGTCATCTTAGACAAGTGGATGTAATCAAATAAGTATGTGAACATAACCAATAACCCATAGCCAATAACAAATGAAACTTATTTTATTTGTGTTGTTCATTCATATCATATCTTAACATTTATTTATGCATTTCTTTTTTATCTCTCCAGTTTTAAAGGATATGTTTGGTTACTGTCCTATAGTATACATTGAAATGATTTCAAACCTGTTTATCCCAATAATTATAAAGGAGGAAATATGTGTTTACATAAATTGTGATCAAACTGTTTGAACTTAGACTAAAGTGAACTATCTAAACACTCAAGAGTCCTTTACCTCACTGAGCTGTAGTTATCAGCCTCTCAGTCTGACTGGAGAGGACTCTCCCTCCACATCATTGTAGAAACATCTTCTTCTTATATCCGTTAGAGCAGCTAGCACCAGATTCTAATAACAACAGCGGGCGGTGCGCCCTTCTCTCTCTCCCTCTCTCCCTCTCTCCCTCGCATTTTGGCTGTGAGCTGCGGGCGCCAGATAAGCCAACATCCCCCACTTACAGCGCCCATCGCACAGGGCGAATGAAACGTGTAACCGGGGTGAAAAGGGTGTACATTTACTTAATTATGAATATTGTTACATTGAGGCCGAAAATTAGGAAGAGCCCCCAAAAATGTTTTTTCCCCTCCCAGAGCTGTCAGCGCAGCACCTCGAGGCGAACATCTATAACGCCAGTGCTACGGGCCGGCCCTGAGTTCATATGCAACTCGCAAATATCTTCCTCTCTCAATGTTGGTACGCAAATGCGTCTTTTTTTCAAATGACCCGGTGCTCTCTTTTTTTTCCTTTTTTTTTATATACACACACACACACACACACACACACACACACACACACACACACACACACACACACACACACACACACACACACACACACACACACACACACACACACACACACACACACACACACACACACACACACACACACACACACACACACACACACACACACGTCTGCAATCTGTCCGTTATAATCAGTATGCGTTTTAAAATGTGGGTTATTTGTCTTAAAAGTCTGTTGTTGACACATCAAGATGCACATTACTTAAAGACTAAGAATACGCATGTCATTAATATTCAGGCATCAGAAAGATTTATCGTCACCACCGAGATAAACGGCATTAGCCTGGAGTGTGAAGAAACAAACAAACTGGATGATGTTTTTCTTTTGGCTGCAAACACTTTCAGTTAAATATCACACAAGGCCTGTTTTCTTAGTGAGGAGAATTGGTCTTCCATTGACAAAAATAGAAACTCATTGCACATGTACAGTAGCCGTGTGTCACGTGGGGTTAAACATAACATTAGCCAGGGATCAAATATGCAGCGTCTGTCTGCTTTCTACTACGTAAGCAATGAAGAGAAAAGGAGGGAACGCATTAGAATAACAGTTGTGTGAAATTGTTACTGGCTACAGAAGCAATAAATACAGACATCCCTCCAACCAGCTGGAATCATTTGATCCTTTCCACACACACACACACACACACACACACACACACACACACACACACACACACACACACACACACACACACACACACACACACACACACACACACACACACACGGAGTTTCTCAGAGGGGGGAGGAACATATGACAACGTACCATATTTGACAAGGCTACTCGGTCCTTGGGAACGATCAGAGTGATGTCAAAGGTGGCTTTGATGGCGGGTTCATCCCAACAGGGGAAAGCTCTGCGAGCGTCAGTGGCCTGGAGGAGGGGGGGGGGGGGGGAGAGAAAGAGAGACAAACTGGGTGTTTAGATGAGTCAAGACCCGTTTCAGATCCAGCTAACTGCTTCAGAATGCATCCTAGACGTGCAGGTACAGGAGAGTTGGACGAGTAATCGAGTAATCTCCACTATGCAAACATCCTCTATGTTTGCATAGTGGAGATTACTCGAGAAAACACACCTGAACAAAAGGAAAAAATATACAAATGTAGGACTCGAGATAGTCAAATGTGTTCATATTACTTAGACCACTAATAAAGCAGTTTCTGATTAATGATAAAACTCACCTCTATACGTTTTACTACCAGGTTACGACCTTGTATATTCATCATGCATATCCAAAACATAAAAGTATACATTACTACACTCCTGTTTAAGGTGCGGGTCATTTATTTTGCAATTACTGTACACGTGTCTAGGGTTGCAAAAGTCCGGGAATTTTCAAAGATGGAAACTTTCCACGGGAATAAACTGGGAATTTTCTAAATTGAAGGTTGGCTCTTCGTAGGGAAATTAAATTTAGTTGGGGAAAGTCATTTTAGCTTAATCTTGACTAAAACAAACAGATGCCATTCCTCAATCACATGCACATAGCACACTGCATGGCTATTGAGACCACACCCCCTACAGCAGGGATGGGCAACTTGGATGGTGGTGGGGGCCACATCATTTATGCACTGGCCACCAGGGGGCCGCAGATTCACTTGGAACACACACAAATTAGTAGTAGTGCAAGTACTTTCATTACAGCAAAGGTCTGCAAACACCTCAACGTGGTGGTTTACCCTGAATTCAGTGAAAACATATTCTTTCTCCCGCTTTACTTGGAAAACAGGATTTTCCTCAGATACCTTTCTCTTGCATGCTGACATCCACAGAGGGCTGTGCTCATGTGACCCGCTCTATCGAAATCAGTCGGAAGTCGCAACGGCTCATTTCAAAAATAAAATGATACAATTCGATTACATTACCCTCAATTCCCAATATTCCATATTAAGCTAAATTCCCCAGCTTAACTTCCCATGGAAATTTACCGGATATTTTCCCCCCCTTTGGAACCCTACACGTGTCTAGAGTCCGATCTGATACTTGATATATTGAGCCTGTGCCAATTTTGTAGCTTTTAGGGAGATAACCATCGACTGTATATATAAGGTGATAAAGTATGATAACAGAAAATCAAAGCTTATTCGAAAAACAACAGAAGTTATGAATGTTCTCTAGCACAGATGTATATATTTCTTTTTATCGTATATTTTACCCCAATATTTGTAATTATGCAGTCTCTCTCTCTGTCTTCGATTCATCTTTTTTTCCACGCATGCTTTTTATTTTTCGACCTTTCATGAGCATTGTTGGCGGGAAGCTGAAATCCAACAAGAATAAATAAACTCTAAACTAGATGAGAATTCTACGATAGAAATAAATATAGACATAACCACCAAATGTATAGGCTGTTTTATTCAGATTATAAAGACATATTTCTGACCTCCCTGTGTGATTAGGGGGGCCTGAACACTAAATAACTATGTTGCTTTAACCAGGACACGGTGACTATTTGGGAGGCAATTTGAAAGAGACATGTATGCCAACCTAAAGACCTCTGATATTTCACTTACATGTGTCCTTTCAGGAGTCAGAGACACAGGCTGTCATTTTGCTGTGTGAGCAGCTGCTCTCTTTCCCTTTGTCACAGCACTATAGTGGAGCTTTTTTATCTGTAGCAGGTTAAAACCCCGTCAGCTGTTTTCAAAGCAGATCTACTGAAGGCGGCTTTTGGAGCCATTGTTCAAATGAAACGCATGAAGCCAACGATTTCATCTACCAACCAGTCTGAGTAGGTTGTTTAGTAGATTGTGGTAAATCAATAAAAGACTCTTAAAATACTCCTTTATTCTTCCATGTGGCAGCCTGAAACAGCTTCCATTATAATCTCCCTCAACGCAAGTGTCAAGAAGAATAATAATATATAATACTTTAGTAATCCCACAAGGGGGATTTCAGTTTCAACCTGCTGGTGAGCAGTCAGTGCAAGTCACTAAAGCTTCTTCCTGTGTGTATTGTGCAATATCAGTGTGTATTTAATAACAAAATGTGAACAAGCAACTACACAATAATTGCGGTGAGAAGTTACTCGAATGATTTATCTCGCTGTTTGGCTGAACCCTCAGTCATTGTCAAATACCGCCTGAATACTCTTAAAATGGCACCTTATACAAGTTGGAATTGGGGGCTCCCTCTAATAATTGTTCTTATCGAAACCAACAAGCACGCCCACTTCAAGCAGTAACTGGCCAAGTGTGTCTTTAAGTAAAGCTTAAAGTAGTTTGTGTTTGGGCTTCTCCGTGTTCTTTTATTCTTCACATGACTTCCTTTTTTTCACTTTTGTGTGCACAATCGAGTGTAACACAATAAAAGTCAGGCAACACTTCCTACCACTACATTTCAGGCATTCTTCCGCCTTTAAGCCGCTGTCAGTGGAGCCACACTACATGTGTTAAGGTAATAACCTGCCACTGTATTTTCTAAAATGAGTAAACAACTACAAGAAAAAACTGGCAGCCCTTTTTGCGTTTAGCTTCACTTTCTTCTCAGACCAAGTCAAGTCCGTGTCGGGAGGATAAATGGAAACCAAAACCTCTGGACACAACTTTATAAACATGGATATGACTAACGGGAGACCCTCCGTCATAGCTTTCCCTCACAGTGTGCACTGACTCGGGTATACAACCTGTGAAGTTCACAGAGTGGATATTCTGCAGGTTCCAATAAAAGCCCAGCAATCAGTCCCGTCTGGCTTTGACAGAAATGCATGTCAACACACAGTTGCATCTTTAAACCATATGCACAAATTAGAGCTGCACCATCAATCAACATTTACAAACTGACTAGTGCAATACTCAAATTGGAGAAAGCACAATATGTGTTAAAGGTTTAATTAACTGCAGCGATGTTACATCCTACAAATAGTCACTATAGACTCGTTGCATATTGTTTTGGTACAGACCAAGATCATTTGAATCACATGTCACATGTTAGACGCTTTTATCCAAAGCGACTCCCATACTCAATACTGTGGACAATCCCCACAGGAGCACTTTGGGGTGAAAGGTCTCAGGGACACAACGACATGCTGACTGCAGTGGGGTTTGAACCTGTGCTCCCCTGAGCCCAACACCAACGCACTAACCCACACGCCTCCCGTGTCATTTGAATTAGGGCTGCACGATATTGGAAAAAAAACGGACATTGCGATTTTTCCCCCCTGCGATATATATTGCGTTTTTTTTAGCGATATTTAACCGGATGAAGGTATTGTCCTCCTGTGCCTCGCTCATTTCTTACCCGTGTTTTGATGGTCTGCAAACTAGCGGGGCCTGCTGTGATCTGATCAAGAATGATTGTGATTGGTGGTTTGCTGTGCATGCAGAGCCTGCATGTCAATCACTCAAGTACTCCTGACATGAGAGTTTTCCTTTTGTAGCAAGCAGCAAAATAATTGTAACATGACGTGTTTGAGTTAATTCACCTACTTAAGCCCTGAGCCTGTTTTTCCGGTCTCAGGCTCGAAAATGACATTCCCAGAACAAAGGACCATATCTTCCCTTCTAAAAGGGTTAAATGAATAATCTTGTTTCTCAAAGTAATGATAAACCTGTGAGTTGGATGTAGAAAAGTCAGAATCAATATAGATGTTTTTTATTTTAAAGAAAATTCAGATTGAACATAGTAAAAAACTGTGAATTATAGTGTCTGTCCAAAAATTCTTTTTTACTTATAGTGAAAACTAACCTTGGATGATGGTAAGGTAGACTAAAAGCTTTAGGAATCCAAAGTACAACATATAATAAGTACCCTGTATCAAGATTGATGCAAAACAAGTGACATTTGACCTTTTTAAGACAGATTTAGCAAAAAAACAAACACTTCTGGGGTCATTTGGGTGGATTTTCCATATCTCTGGCCCCCCTTGGTCGATTTTGACGAATGAAATCTCTTTATAACCGCTAGAGCCAATGGAATCGAGGGGAAGTTCTCCACACACCAACACATGAACAAATAAGGAGTGAGTGTGACGCGTAGCCAAAACCGGAAGCTGCAGCCACTCTGGTGGCTACCATTAGCAGCTAACTTTTGTGCTCGGATTTTTACATAAAAATGGAATTATGGATTATAAACAATTGCTTCAACGCCACATTATCAACCTATGGATCAACCGATTCAGCCGCGTCTTTTCTCGTTTTAATGCCATTGAACACGTCTTTTGATCAGATTGACAGCTACGGTGAGACGATCTCCCGTAAAAGCTCCGTAAAGGTACGTGTTGTGATGTCTGTGTTTGCTTCCCCTGTCGCGAGATCGGATCGCTTAGTGATGATACTATACTTAAATAATCTGTGGAGTCTCAGCTTTAATCGGATATATTGTATGTGCAGTTTCGATAAGTAATAAGGGTATCTTTATTTTGAATTCTGTGCTAAAGTGCGTTGGCATTAAAAAAAAAAGAATAAAACCGCACGGCCCTGCGGTGTGAATATCGCGGTTATCGCCATGACACGATATATCGTTCAGCCTATGTAGAATGATACATTCCCCTCAATAACAATACCATATCTCAAAGCAATTTCATGCAATAAGTTATTTTACCAGATGGTGCAGCCCTAGTATAAATAGATTATCATTTGAGACATCTCCTGATCTCTAGGAAAGTTCTGGAACATTAGTCATTTCACCATCACAGGCTCCTGTGTTGCACCACAGGCGAGTAGTGGGTTAAGCAACTTTCCCAAAAAGAGAAAATATCCCGTTGCCTTTTGGTTTTCAGCTTACCTCAAACTGTGTGACGGCAGCGTAGCGGCTCTCTCCAGCAGGGTTTGAATATTTACTTCTATAGAATCCCTTCATTTTGTCGTTCAGCTCCCCGACAAAGTCTACCTTCAAGGTGCCGGCGCCTGGGGGGGGAATAACCAGAGGGGGAAACATTGCATTAATGACAGAATGATGATTCAAAAGCAGACGACAAGTGGAGTCATGTCTTACCTTTCTGTAAAGCGCTAGGGAATGACAGGGTGACTTTCTCATCCTCATTTTGATAGTTGAATCCGGTTGCATTAATTTCTAAAAGAGAAGAAGAAAAAGACCATGGAATATTCCTTTTTCGATTAACGTTTTTATGTATGACAATGGTGTCGATTAAGAACATAAGAGGGAGAAAGCCTGAGCCTCACCTTCTCCTCCCTGCGGTGCAAAGGAAGCTGTAATGATGTCGATGTCAGCGCAGTTCATCACTATCTGATTTGTGGCTTGTGTGACCTGTATTGACATAGAACAGCATAATGTATACTTTGAAAATATCTGCTGTGGCATTATTTCAAATCCCTATCTGCTTGGGGAAGATTCCTTTTTACACCTTTTCCAAAGTCAAATTCACACGATAAAAAAGAATTAGCTTGAATTGCTAATTCAGCACTTTGAAGCCACATTGGAAAGATACATCTATTTATTATGAAAGCAGTGCAGATACAACTTGAAAGCTGTTTCGTGAATTTAAAAAAACACTTTTAAAACTCCACAGTTAAATAAAAGGTGTTTGTGAGGATTGCAAACACACTTTACACTTCATTAGGTTTAAGGAAAGTAAGTGCTAAGGTCCAATGTAAGCAGCATCACCTCAGTATGTAAAGGAGCATGGTTTTGTTTGACTAGATTAAAATGTATTTGGTTTTTCAACATGAAAGACTAGTAAGCAGAGAAAGGAACACATCGACTTACTAAGCAGTAAACCTACCGAGGCTAAAGGGCTCGGGTCCCAAAGACGACCCAGGCGGGGTTTGAAAAGGAGAAAACAAAGAGGAAGGCAGACTATGGGGCCTCTACCTTGTGATGTGAAAACAGTGGATGTGACTGCACAGATTATTGAGTGGAAGCGATGCCGTTTAGGAGTTTATCAGAGTGACATTCACAGTTTGTGGCACTGCTGCTGTAGCTTGAGACACTTTGAGGCCGACACAGCGGGGCAGTAATTATAAAACATGCTGGACAAATGGCTATGGGCCACGTTTTAGAGATTCTTCCGCTCCATTGTATTTTACACAGACTTTGTGCAAACAGCAGGTAATCAGGGTGTTACTAAACCAAACTGTGAGGACAGTTTATAACTATTAGCAATCACAGGATTAAGAAACCTTCAGGATGACTCAATAAGACTTGAGAACATGCCTTTTAGTGATCAACACAAGGACATCATGTTTGGATTGATTCAAAATGTGATGTTTTAATTATTACGGTTTGTCTAATATATGTTTGAATATGTCCTGCCCTAAGGTTTTTTATTTAGCATATGATGTGGAGATAAGATTCTTGCTACTGATAAAACAACTTAAATAAAAACTTCCTCATCCCTTTGTTTGCTTCGTCATTTAACAAAAAAAGCCACACTTCTCAAAAACATCCAGTGCCAACCCTTTATTAGTTTATTGCTAAAAACAATAGCTCAGTCAACAGAAAACTAATCATTAACCGTTGTGATAAATACAAATTTACTTTTTTAATAAAGTAAGCTTTTCACGTTTGAGGATTTACTGCCGATTTATTTGATATCATCTGGAACTGTTTATCTGTAGGTTATTGACTGTTGGTCAGGCAAAACATTCTGGCATTTGCGTTTCAAACGTGGCTCATGTTACTTGGGATCAGTGTTAGGGTAGCTATTCAATGATATTCCATTTGTTAATGTTGAGTTGTTTATCATTTGGTGTCACATACACAGAAATACTTATTTGAGCAAGCACATGTCGACCATATCAAATGCTGCGCTGCGCGTTGACTGCTCTGATAATGTGTGCAGCAGAGTGAGTGACTACAGCCAGGCGTGTTAAAGGCAGGTGTTACGACGCCCTGCGGACAGGTGCCACGACGCCCTGCGGACAGGTGCCACGACGCCCTGCGGACAGGTGCCACGACGCCCTGCGGACAGGTGCCACGACCCCCTGCGGACAGGTGCCACGACGCCCTGCGGACAGGTGCCACGACCCCCTGCGGACAGGTGCCACGACCCCCTGCGGACAGGTGCCACGACGCCCTGCGGACAGGTGCCACGACGCCCTGCGGACAGGTGCCACGACGCCCTGCGGACAGGTGCCACGACGCCCTGCGGACAGGTGCCAGTAGACTTTACGCACAAACTCTTGCTGAAATAAATGCAAAGTGAGCCATGTTTGTTTTATCCGTTAGTTACACAGTAGCTACATCTACATGCACTTTTGCAACAATCCAACGGGAACCCAAGGGACTCACTAACCTATTACCTTGAGTCAACTAACGCAAACGAACAGTGTGCATTCCTTACATTTACTGTCAAGATTGTGTAAAGATTGTGCTGCTTTAAAAGTAGCTAATTAGGCACACTCACTATTTGCAGATAGTTCCGTACATTAACTCATGTGCTGTACTTAAATATACATTTTAAGTACTACATGCAACTTTATACATTTCAAACAAAGGCAAGTGTTGTACCATTATCTTCACCACTTTTACTTGACAGCTTTATTCACTTTTCAAATTATATTTTTGTGACGATGTGTCTCCAGATGTGTTGAATTTGAATGGTTGTGATAACTTGAAGGATACAGTGTTCATGTGATAAACTACTTCACCAACATTTACTGTTGGCTGATTTAAAAAACGCATTAAAACAAAGCCAAAAACAGGGATGTTTGTCTGCGCTCATAAGAAGTTGCCGGGTTTTTTTTGTTGCGATTTCGGACACTACAAACATTGTGGTATCATATACATTTTAATTATATTCAACACTTAAATAATACTTCAGTTATATCTGAATTAAAATGCACATGCTACCCTGCAGTATCCAAAGTCATTCAAACTAGCTGCACCTTTACCAGCTATAATGCATCAATAATTATAATCAATTCGTATCATATATATATTATTCTGCCAATCTGCAGAATGACTACTTTTACTTTTGGTACTTTAAGTATATTTTGATGCTAATACTTTTGTACTTTAGTAACATTTTGAATGCAGTCATTTGAAAAAAGGATTCCTACCCTCTGGTACTTTTACTCAAGTACAAGATCTGAGTAGTTCTCCCACCTCTGGTGGGAGGGGGCTACATCATGTTGCCATGATTTAGCAAACATTATTGAGCGTTAGCTAGATGCTAGTAGGCTAGTAAACAACTTAAAAAATGATGGCAGATAAACCGATCCTGATTTAGAGCAATGCATTGGTGTAACAAGGGGTTAACATTCCTGGCGAACAACAAACTGATCTTGAAACACATTAAGCGCACTGCAAAGCGCTTGTTAGCATGCTAACGTTAGCTAACATGAGAGTGCAAGTCTGCCTGGGACTGTTGTGCTAGCTAGCTTCGATTAGCTTATGGCATAAATATCGAGACGTTATTTTTCACCATTCATTGCTCTCATTCAGCCACCTTGAGCCTGCCGATAAACGGTTAGCTAGTTTAGCAACTGCCAGCTAACACAAGCTAACGGCTAACGTTACGCTAAGCTACTACTGATGCTAACGGCTAACCGTTTGCCCGTTATTGCTTGAAGACAGCACATTAGCTCGCTTCTGTTAACGTTAGCTGGTCATATTACATAACATGATCCTCACACAAACAAATCCATCCATGTAAGAAGCCAGACGCTCGGGGTCAACTTACCTCCACCACCGCCTCCAGTTTCCCTTCAAAGGTGAAGTCGATCAGGTCCGGCTTCAGACACAAGCCATAGTTGACGGGGTAAACGTCAGCTGGTAACCGCACGAAGGGCCTCCTTTCGGGCATGGTTCCTGTATTTTGGCCGCTAACGAAGACGGTGCTGTGTGTAACTCTTGTTATCGCTGTGAGTTTTATGAGTGCAGAGCTGATCAGAACGGAGCTCGGCAGTGAGGATGCAAGACAGCCGGTAGTGAGTCTGTAGAGTGACAGCGGAACCCTGCGGCCAAGGAGAAGCAACATCAACTGAAAGCTCTCTCCTCTCAGCCCAAACAACTCAAGTTAAACAGCGTTAAACAGACACGCTACGTCATCACGTCGTGTCAGCGTGCTTTACGCACCATAGATAGATAGATATTATTTTAATCATGTCTACAAATGGTCTTTATATTTCTGCAAAACTATGATGCTGCATTTTTATTGGAACGATTGTGTGGACAATATTTATGGGTATAATATAATGAAAAATAAGTCCTTTTTTGAGGAAAAGGGTTTAAATTAGATTAGACTAGATTAGAATAGATTCAATTACATTTACTGTATTGATCACCATTTTGGATTATATGTTGTCAAAGCAGCATGTAAACAAGACATTGTACATGAATTCAAATCAAATACAACTGAAAGTTAACATAAACAGTTAACAAACACTATATATTTAAATATCTCATATATTTGTATATAGCTCTAAACACTTTCAATGCAAGAAATGCATTTTGCATAAACAGCAGAATCACATTACGCTTCAAAAATTGCACAAATACAGGTGCACAGTACTGTCAAATTTAGTAAGATGCAAACTGAATATTGATTATAATAGATATGTGTATGGTCTAAAGCGAGTATTCCTTGTTTTTGTTATCACTGTATATATATACACACACAAACACATAACATGAACGTTGTAATAAACGTGTTTTATGTAATGCCACATTTTTGGTTGTATAATATTAAAGATAACATGCTGTATGTATGTATGTCAAACCACTATTTATTCTCGTTGGAAATGTCCATAGAGCTCGCGCTAATAAACCGGAAGTCGTCTTTTGTGTCAGACGGTGTCAAGATGGCGACGCCCATGAGGAGGACGCTGGTTGCTCTTCACAGGGCAACATGTAGCAGTTTAATGGTAATGAGGCATTTAATAACACTTTAGTTTAATAAATAGAGACACTCAGTTTGTTGTTGTAGCATCTCGTTTGTTGAGCTTGTTGTGAAAGCGTCGAGTCCTGATTAGGCTAGCTAAGCTAAAGCTAACTGTCTTTACATAAAAGGATCATTTCACCAGGAAATAAAAACAAAGCAGAGGAAATGTTGTAAACAAATAAAATACAAACACTGTGTTGTTAGTGATAATCTATTAGACTGTTAGGAAGTTAAACATGTGATATTCTACCCTGTAGTCTTAACCTTAGTGCTATTTCAGAGTTGTTTATGTACTTGACCGCATTATTTGTACATGTTGTTGAAAATTCATTAAAAACTGACCTCAACCATAAAGTATAATTATCTTCAGACAACGTGTAGAGGTTATTACTTTTGCACATATGTGTAATATAGGTATACTTCATAAAATACTATTCTACAGATACCTGTACGTTGCTTTAGTATTTCTATTTGATGCTACTTTACACTTCAACTCCACTTAATCTCAGAGACAAATATTGTGCTTTTTACACTGCTACATTTGTCTGACAGCTTTGGTTACTTAGTTACTAAGTACAGCTGAAACTGTTAATCAAAACATGAATACAAGTAATTTATTGCAGGAAAAACATTTCATGAAATAAATCGATTAGATTAGTAGATTTAATGGCAGAGCTGTTTAGTTGTATATATTGTTGTATTAGTATAAAAAAAATGGTGTGGTTAAACCATACACTTTTCTGTATGTATAGATATTGAATTTGCATCTTACTGTGTACATTTATAGCATTGTGTATCTTTGTTTGTGCATCTTATTAAAGTATTCATTTGCCCTGTATATATTTGCATTCTTTCCCACTTTATAATGCAATTACTGCACATCAATTTCTCTCAGGATAAACAAAGATTGAACTCACCGTATCTGTTTCTCTCTCAGAATGCCGAGGCGTCTCTGGACCTTCGGCACCCGCTCCCTCTGTACCTGCCGGTCCGGACTAAGAAGCGGTACTTCATCCCTCCGTCGGTGGGGATGAAAGGGTTCAAAGATTCTAACATCCAGGACAGGGCCCGAAAAGCCGGCGTTGCCCCCAGACAGCAGTACTTTGAGAGGCCCATCAACATCGCCTCCACTTGTAATACGGCCTTTTTTTCACCGTTCTTGATTGAATTTATATGAATTTGTTGAATTGCTCTAGTTTCTTATTGTTAAATGTAAAGACTGCAAAGGCTTTTAGGAGTTTTTTGTACAACACCTTTCTAGTATATATATATTTAACACAACACATAAGACTTTGGAAGTATAAAATACTAAGATTATGATTGGTGAGATTTTACTAAATGCATTCATAGCAAAAGTATTAAATGTCCCGTCAAGTTTAAATGATTTCCTACGTGGTATTTTATCAGACTTCTTCTGATTTAAATTATAATTGTGGTACCTTTTGACTCTTTTAATATCTTTCATTGTGTTTTAGATATCTTATTTGAATCACTTAAAGATGTGAGCTGCTTGTGATGACACGAGAAGAAAAGCTTGATTTTAGTTTGATGTAAAACAGGAATGTCCTTAACAAGGATGTCAAACAGATGTAACAAGAACACGTATGGTTCTTGTAATCGGCACACAAACTCCTAGCTAAAGAACATTGTGTATTAGATGCCGTTGTCGTCTGTACAGTTCTCCTAAAATATCAAAAACCAGGGTTGTTTGTATTGTCCACAATCCAGTCATCTGGATCATCAATCAGACGACAACACTGTATTTTGTAATGTCTCTCCTGATTGATAACCCCTGTCTGTTGCTCCACCAGCGGGAGTCTTCGACCCCTACATCCCTCCGGAGGGCGACGCTCGTCTCTCCTCTCTGTCCAAAGAAGGCCTGAAGCAACGAACTAAGCAGATTAAACAGAGCGCCGGCTCACAGCTAGCGTAAGATTGTTCTTCTAGCTTCTCCTGTTGTTCCTGTACTGAGGTTTTTATCATCAAACATACCTGGATGTTGTTGGGCTGCCCTCCGCCTAAGATGTTCTTGTAGAAAAGTAGTCCTGTCACATTGATCATATAATATTATAATAATTTTTTTGGGCTTTTCAAAATGGTTTCAGTTCCAGAGCTGACAACGAATGTTAGATAGATAGATAGATTCAACTTATTGTCCTTACGTAGTACAGGTACTATGTAACGAAACAGTTTCTCTGCATTTGACCCATCCTAGTGTTAGGAGCAGTGCGCTGCCATTATGTACGGCGCCCGGGGAGCAGTGTAGGGAACGGTGCTTTGCTCAGGGACACCTCGGTAGCACTTGGTCTTTCCGGGAATTGAACTGGTGACCTTCCAGTTGCCAAGCCAAGTCCCTATCGACTTCGCCACCACCGATCGAATGTTATGACATATCATGGAACATTGTGCTACTTGTAAGATATAATATAAGTAGAGGTATAATATAACCTGTCCAATCTGTTCACCTTTAACTTAACCAGTCTTTAAACACGGCCAGAGCCCACACCGTGTTCCTGTCTGTGGATAATGTGCAGCGAGGCGCTCATTTATGTAAAAATGTACGACAGGAAGCGTCACCACGCTTATTACACGGCCACATACATATTATAAACAAACTTCATTCACAAAAAAGTATTTCATTTGTTAAAAAACGATTGTGTTGATTCCACTTAGAAACGTAACTTAAAATGATGGCAGCTCTGATCGAGGTTTTCTGTAACTGTCCATTTGATTTAACCAGTTTTTAAACACGGCCAGAGCCCCCACCGTGTTCCTCTTAGTATTTACTTCCTGTCTCCTTCTCCTGATTCCTCTGACATCCAGCGCTCTGTATTTTTACCTTTGTTAAAGAATTTACTTTTGTGAGTCTTTGAACCACATCATCACACTCTGAGGGATGATCAACTGTAAACACGGTCAATGTGAGAAAGCTGAATATATTTCTTTTCTTTTACAGGATTCGTAAAATCAAAGAGCACGACCCTCAGTTCTCCACGAAGTCTTTTGCAGTGCAGGCTCAGGAAATCTTCATTGAGGCCCACACCGCCCTGACACAGTAAGAGGATGATCTCAGGTCTCTCAAGTCTCTCACGTCTCTCAAGTCTCTCACGTCTCTCACGTCTCAAGTCTCTCACGTCTCAAGTCTCTCAGGTCTCTCACGTCTCAAGTCTCTCACGTCTCTCACGTCTCAAGTCTCTCAGGTCTCTCAGGTTTCTCACGTCTCTCACGTCTCAAGTCTCTCACGTCTCAAGTCTCTCAGGTCTCTCACGTCTCAAGTCTCTCACGTCTCTCACGTCTCAAGTCTCTCAGGTCTCTCAGGTTTCTCACGTCTCTCACGTCTCTCACGTCTCAAGTCTCTCAGGTCTCTCAGGTTTCTCACGTCTCTCACGTCTCTCTGACATCAGCTCACAGTCAGTGAGGAACGCTGAATATCACAGTGAGACATTTGTTATAGAAGTGAGGAATCCACTCATGCTGCCTTCAGCTTAACGCTAAGTGGGAACGCTTCAAAAACTAGCCTTGTTGAACTTACTCTGAACATGAATTGGCTGATTTAAGGAAACATCTGTGCAGAGCTGACGTACTGAAATACTGGTGTTGTCTGTGATCTGCAATCAAACCATTTTCCATTTTAGGGCTGTTCTTAGAGCAGTCCAACTATTTTATCAAACCTTTTATGATTTTTTTATTTTTATTTTTTTAATGTATTCTACTAAAATCATACAAAAACAAAAACGTATAATTCATACACACAAATGAACAAAAATAGTAGAAGCGGGAGGGCTGAAGCATAGCTTATGGGGAGTAGCCCTCCCGTGCATCATCATTAGCATCAATATAATAATGGCACTTATTTCGTCAAAAACGTATAGAAATTAAGGAGTACAAAGAAATAAAGAAAACTAATGAAAACTGGAAAAAATAAATAAAAATAAAAGTTTTCAAAGTTTATTTTAAATAGAGGACAATGAAGTGGGATTATGGAAATTATTTTACTATTTTACTTAAATTAAGTGTGTAATCAAATGTATTCTTATACAATTAGTAGTTCAACTTTGTTTCTGTTATTGTGAGAACATTTTATAGAAATAATTTACAGTATTAATTTAATATTTGACCACTAAAAGTATTTGCTGGGTTTTTCT